AAATTTAATTCTAGTTTACTCTTTTGTTTTTTTTAGTACAAACAATAATCCAATCTACAAGAGATGAGGATTTCTCACACACACAAAACTATGATGCCGTGAGAATTTGAATATAAGACCTCTAATATGCAGTATTCTATAATTTATGAAAAACTTGAGTGAAGACTTCTTTATTGCATGAGCGAATGAGCAATAGACAAACATAACATGTTACGTGCACTCATCCTACCATGTAACAAGAAAGTCCTCTCACGTAAGTTTTACTCGATTTACACATGATTAAGTATGACGACCCTTAGGTAAACAACAAATTTAAGGAACTGCTTTGTTGAAAATACAAAGTAAAATGCTTAGGCCTATTACAAGCCAAATCGAAACGTTCCAATAGCATAGGTCAAACACCTTTGATTATAATAGTTAATTTTGGATATTTTTTTTTTTAATAATATCATAGCACAAACATGAAGCCAAAAGAAGATGTCAACGCATTGTTAATTGGAGACTCAAAGATTCAATCAGCCCTTGTGATAAATTGGTAATATGATTCTTGAAATTTTTAATTAAGGTTATATAATTAAGGCTACCCAATTCAATTTTTAGGTGTATAATTCATTGCAAGTATTATGACAGATTCAGCAGCCAACTGCAAGTTGTAAGCAATTATTCATTTAGATTGGAAAATGGATGCCACAAAATGAACACTTTTCTTCTTTCTTTCTTTCTTTCTAAATTTAATTCTAGTTTACTCTTTTGTTTTTAAGTACAAACGATAATCTAAACTAACATAGGAGGGGGATTTCACACACACACAATTATGATATTATGGGGATTCGAACCTAAGACCTCTAATATGTAAGTAAAGGCCGCCAATATTTCTGAAGAAGAAACAAATAATGAAGCAGTATTTGATAATTTATGAAAAATTTGAGTGAAGACTTCTTCATTGCATGAACGAATGAGCAATAGACAAACATAACATGTTACGTGTACTCATCCTACCATGTAACAATAAAGTCTTCTCACGTAAGTTTTTATAGATTTACACATGATTAAGTATGACGACCCCCCCAGGTAAACAACAAATTTAAGGAACTACTTTGTTGAAATACAAAGTAAAATGCTTAGGCCTATTACAAGCCAAATCGAAACGTTCCAATAGCATAGGTCAAACACCTTTGATTGTAGTAGTTAATTTTGGATATATTTTTTTTTTATTAAGACCGCCATAGTATAGTTTGATATCATAGCATAAACGTGAAGCCAAAAGAAGATGTCAACGCATTGTTAATTGGGGGCTCAAAGATTGAATCAACCATATGCAACTTTGATCGCTTAAATTAGATATTTGTTCTACATAGGATGTCTTTTTCTTCCAAGAGAATGAATGATTAAATTATTGATCTTCATCCCACAATATAATATAATGATTTAAATTCTTTATTTTTTTCAAAGATCACCCTTGAGAAAGTATTTCTAAAGATCAAATTCAAAGTAAAATTCGTTCAACAACTATCTTTCATTCCTTTGTTTTTTAGTCAATAGGGAGTGAATGAATCAAATTTAGAAACTCTTTCACTGTTGAAAAGAGAAACTCTTTCCTTTTGTTTGTGTTAGAGTTTAGAGGAAAAAGAGCGAGAATGAGAGTGAAGATAAGATTGAGAGGGAAGATAAAAGAGTTGATGAGAGGAATGAGTAACAAAAGTGAAAATAAAAACTGAAAACTGAAATCTATTTCAAATTGTTTTCACTTTCAAGTTTTTGTTTTCATTTTTGTTATTCATTCCTCTCATCCTCTCTCTCAATCTCATTCTCACTCTCATTTTCCTCTAATACTCTAGCACAAAAAATGAAAACTAAGAACTAAAATTGAAATGGTTATCAAACGAGCCCTTAGATTTCCAGAATTTATAACTAATTAAGAATTTGAACTACAATTACTTCAAGGTTAAAGGGCATGAATTATGAATTTATAATCTTGGAAATATATGAGCATGACAAAATCCAAACTAAATCATGCTTTCCCAAGATGCCAAACTCATCTTTTTAATCTCCATCCCACCAAACAAACATGTTAAACAAAGATGATGAGCAAGCTTAGTTCACTGAACATCCAATTTTCCGAACCCACTAATAAAAACCCTCGAGACAAAAGCAAACAGCCAAATTGAGGTTCACATGGACGGTGGATGGCTGGCTCCTTTTTTTTTGACTTGGAGAATAAATCAGGCCACAATGATGAGCCTCACATGGCTGCGAGTGACCTGCACGCTCTAATCACAGGCCATCATGAACCCAATGTCAGGCTGGTCCCGCATGCATCAAATCCCAACCCCACCACCTACGTGGTCACTAGCTATTGGTCCACGTTTGAGGTCGTATCTAAAATTCAATCACAGTGGTATCGCATGCACATGGGGAGCTAAAGATTTCCCGGATGTCACACCAATGATGACCCAGCGGTCCAAGCCACAATTTTTATTATTTATTTTTTCATATTTATTTTGTTCCATGGATTATATTTTTTTGATAATATCCTAATTTATGAATTTGTAGGTAAGTTTCCTTTGTACCTTTCATTGATGGATTTTCTTTTTCTTGAATGACCATTTTAAATATATTGAAATTGCACTCTGGGATCGGATGTCTTCAAACTTATTCTCATTTGGACTATAAGGGGTGCAGTACGAATTGGTACGCGATACAAACACCTAGAAATACCACATTCGAAGGATCGTCATGACATAACTAATGCAACATTTCGGGATCTAATTCGCGGTTTGATTAATCTAATACATATTTAGTACGCGTTCGTACGTACCATATAAAAGTCGCATCACTTCACCTCTCTTGCTCTATATAATGACAAAAGATCACTGGAAAATGTAAGCTTCCCGCCCCAAATTGGACCTCTATATCTCATGCGAATTTTCTTGCAACATATGCAAAGTCTACCACAAAATCCACCCTTCCCCTTCTTTTGATGTAAATTAGTTTGATGTGTTGACAAACAGAGAAGCTTCCTCAAAAAAATTCGAAAATAAAAGGAGAGAAAACCGATAAAGGGAAGGGTAATCAAATCATTATCACCATTCACCAGCTTGTTTCTAATGGGTATCCAATGTAATAATAATTGCACAGTAGATTGAGAGAAAAATGACAGTGAATCATGCAACTAAGAAATAAAAACTTTATGAGTAATAGGAAAACCTACCCTACTTATATCATATCGTTCAAAATCAATTAACTTTGAATACATGCAATCACCTATTGACTACGTTTAGAAAATTCAAATATTAAATTATTTAACTCCAAATACGTGCAATCACGTGCAAATTAATACATTTGAGCTCACAATTTATACCATTCCGGTTATTTTACCGGTGGGCCATCCGTGCAGGTTGCATGCAGCTAAAGAAAGTTGGCTTAAAGTGGGACAAAAAGTGACAAAAAAAACACATATGCATGCATGTAATTATGCAAATATAGGTTGGGTTTTGGCAGAAGTAAAGATAATGGAGTTTAGTCTACGACTCTAATTAAGGAATTGGAGTGAGGGTGTGGCTCGAGATTAATTGAAGAAGGTTTGTTTGCGTTTAGGGTTTAGATTAACTTAATTATATTGTTATTGTGTGTTTTGGGCCCCACTTACAGTTAAAGCCAGGCGGGGTATATGGGCCGCTGATTACGGGATTAAGTGGGTCCTACAACCCACGTTGGATGCTCTCTCATCACTGTCTTCTTGTTTTGTAGGCCTTCCCTGCCTCATTGCTCATTAGGATTAGGTGTCTACTTTTTATACTTTGGGCACCCCCACCCCCTCTTGCTTGCACCCACTCACCCACACGCTTTTCTGGTGCACTATGCTTGCTCAGATCTCTTATTAGCTAGTGGGGCTTTAGATTGCACTGCATATGTGTATCCTTCTCGTGCCCCAGGAAATCTTGTGTGGGCCCCCCCAGAGAATGTCCTCAAATCACAGCCGCTGATCACGCCTCAACTTCAGACTGACTCAAAGTCACTCTCTCTCCCTTTTGAGTCCAGATCTAAACAAACCCCTTTACTTTTCTCGTGTACCCAATTAAGGATTCAAGATTACATTTCATGCCTAATAGCCCTACCTCCTCTTCTGTGATGTCACATGACCTTACAAATGAAGTTAGCATAGCAGCTTCAATGTTATTCAAAGCATGAACATAAAGCGAAGAAAGATACCAATAATTCAGATAAAAAAAACAGAAGAAGAGACATGTAATTCAAGTATAAAAGAACGAATTGTGAACGTGACGTTAGCGATAAACTCGAACATTTTCATTCAAATTTTACGACACAAAATATACGAACTTGCCTAATGAACATAATTTGTGGATGTCTCTCGTAATTTGACACATCAGCATTGCCTACCTTATTCATGGTTTTAGTCAGTTTCCTCCGCAAAAGCGGTATGCATGAAACATCATGTGGGTTGTCAGAATGTGCCTTGACAAAAGACTAAGCAAAACCAGTATTAAACATCATTAGGTGTGGAGCAAAAGAAAAATTGAACAACCTCTAAATAAATTTTCCGGGAAAAATAGAGAAGAGAAAAGAAAAGAAAAGAAAAAGGTGAAGATACCGACACTCGCCTACAAGAGCTTGCATAAACACAACCTCCCATCAATTGGGAAATTGGAGAAGAACACAGGCAGGCCCCACACTTATCAGTACAAGGTGCAATACAATTAGAGAGTGACATACACGCGCTAGAGAGTGAGAGTGGGGATGCAAATCATTTTATTTCTAGTTCTACATTTATGATGGGTTGAGTCTGAAAATTCCAAATATTGCCCCTAAAGCCACCTCCATAAGTACTCCTTCACTCCCTTCTTTAATCCCTCACCCTATCAGTACCTCACTGACTCCCTCCCTCTCTCTCTCTCTCTCTCTCTCTCTCTCTCTCTCTCTGTCTTTCCTCTTTCTCTCTCACTTTCTGTTTGTTTCTAGGGAAACTTCAGAAAAGAAAAATGGGTGTGGTGAGTGTTTCTGCTTGCCTTGCCTCTCTACTTATCTCACTAATGTGGGTTGCTGAAGCAAGAATCCCAGGGGTGTACAGTGGGGGTGCATGGGAAGAAGCTCATGCCACCTTCTACGGAGGCTCTGATGCCTCTGGCACCATGGGTAAGTCAAAAGGCTCTCATTTTCTTTCAATGCACGCATTCCGTATATTTCTAGGCAAAGTTGAACAAAACCAGTCAAAGATCTACAGCCAAGAACTTAATTAAGCTAGCTTACTTAGTATTACTTAACTAGAACTTGTATTTTTCAGGTGGGGCTTGTGGATATGGAAATCTCTATAGCCAAGGCTATGGCGTGAGCACAGCTGCACTGAGCACTGCCCTCTTCAACAATGGCCTCAGCTGCGGTGCCTGCTTTGAAATCAAGTGTGCAAATGACCCAAACTGGTGCCACTCTGGAAGCCCATCAATTTTCATCACTGCCACCAACTTCTGCCCTCCAAACTTTGCTCAACCAAGCGACAATGGCGGATGGTGCAATCCTCCCAGGCCTCACTTTGACCTGGCCATGCCCATGTTTCTCAAGATTGCCGAGTACAGAGCTGGAATTGTCCCTGTTTCTTACCGTAGGTTAGTAAAGCTCACATGCTCTGTTCTTTATGCTCTGTTTTTGTGCTCTGTTTTTAGTTTTGGTTGTTATTCTGTTTCAGCAATTTGGACATTTCTTAGAGTAAATTAATACATGGGTTTTTTTTAATGAGTAAATTAATACATGGGTTACTTTTCAAAAACCAAGCTTAAATGCATTGATTTTAGGTAGACCACTTTTTATGCTCTGTTTGTAGGTCAAATCTTGTTTTTGGATAATTTTCAGAGTAAATTAATACATGGGTTTGCTTTTAAAAAAACAAGTTAAATCAAATTAGACCACTTTTGTTTAAAGTATTGTTGTGATCTTTCTCTATCTTGTGGGTCAGGCTTGTGGTACAGAATGAGTTGGACTCTGGTCTGGGTCTTTATTGCTTTTTGCAGAATGTCATGGTTTCTATCAAATCTTATTACTGACCATGTGTGACAGAGAGCTCACTTGGATTTTAGTCATTTGTTTTTTTTTCTATGGTGGTTGGGTTTAGTTAATTTCGAGTCTTCGACGTTTACTGGTCACTTTCAGCTCCCTGGCTCTTGCCCAGTTGGTCCCAAACGCTGAAAGGAAATCTAGTATGGGTAACATGAATAATTAACTCACAAGAAACACTCTAGTTTTAACATAAGCTACTAGATTTCATCAAAGTTTCTCTGCTGCCATATGCCATCCTTGGCCTTACTCTAGGCCTATTGTTATCCACTAGAAGAACATGCGTCTTCGTCGCGTGATCATAATTTACATTTTTATTTCTTCTATACGATCATGTGACAAAGAATGTCTCGTGTCAAAATAAGTTGTAATATGTTAGATGGTCTGATATATTATAAATGAGCGATCAGTAAACGTGGTACAAATAACTTTATTTATTATGAATTGACAATCTGAGATAACACACTATGTCAAATTCTCGATTAGGGTTGGTATGATTTTTAATTGTGAAGAAAAACTTGCATTAGCTACCAAACCTAGCTTTTCCCTGGATTATGGTCTTTGGTCTACGGCACGATCTGGACCGTACGTACTCCTTTTTGACTACTAAATCATATGCGCATGTAAGTCTCAGTTTTGTACGTAGAAATCAAAGACCATACCCAGCACAGTTCCCAAAAGTCCGAGACCCGTTGATCAATGTGGAAAAGGGCGTTTGATTGACGCCCACCTTAAAACACGGTCCGCGATCCACGTAAACTTTCACCAGGTCGAAATCACGAACATACCCTTATACTTTTTGACTTTTTGCGCAGGGTGCCATGCCGCAAGCGCGGAGGGATCAGGTTCACAATCAACGGCTTCCGTTACTTCAACCTGGTTTTGGTAAGCAACGTCGCGGGTGCAGGGGACATCGTGCGGGTGAGCGTGAAAGGATCCAAGACTGGCTGGATGAGCATGAGCCGTAACTGGGGTCAAAACTGGCAGTCAAACGCCGTTCTGGTTGGTCAATCGTTGTCCTTCAGGGTCAGAGGCAGTGACAGGCGCACTTCCACCTCATGGAACGTTGTTCCGGCCAATTGGCAGTTCGGTCAAACATTCACCGGGAAGAACTTCAGAGTCTGAACAACAACAAGAAAAAGTCCACATATTTATGATTTTCCCGCCATTATATATGTTTTTCCAATTTTACCCTTTCTTGGCGCCATTGTGGTGTTTTTACTAGATGCTGTTTTTGACTGGGCGTTGGAGAATGTGAAAGTGTGTTTAGTGGGGAGGGGGTTCAGGGACAACTTTGACTTTTTGGGTTGGTGTGATTTTGTGAGTGTGTGGACAGTGGAGGAGGGGCAGTAGGGTAAAAGTAAAAAAACAGGGTAACAAGTGTAAGGGAAATTAATTATTAAATTAAAAACCCAAGTGAGGAAATTGTAGAAGAGGAGGTTGAGGCGGCTGCAGAGAATTTGTAGCCCGCACCCTATAAATACTGGCAAAGCTAAAGTTGTAGTATATTATGATTTATATGCATGAGAAATGTATTTCTAGTAGTAACTTTGTTATTTTCTTGTTTTGTTTTGATTTACTTGGAAAGTATATTTGGTTTGTTTCAATGGAACTTGGCTTTTTGTTAGTATTCAACCAGCTTTACACGGTTTATATTGGATTTGAAGATGAAAGGGATTTGTAGTTCAAGTGTTTTAGATTATTTATCTCTACATCCGAGGTCTTAAGTTTGATTTCCGTTACCCCAATATCGCTTTTATTGGAAAATAAATATCGCATTTTGAGATATTTCCTGTTTATTTACTACTTGAAATATTCACAAAAGCTAAAGATTTTTGAACCCCACAAATATAATGGTAATTTTAATGATTTATGATGGCAAATGGGTCAACCGGTGAATGTGCACTAACCAATCACATGGGTGGGGTGTGGGTATTTGATTTTCGCTTGGCTAATAAGTTCTTTTCGAACATCTGCTTCTGTGCTTTACAGAACAAACATCTTTGGATTCTAACAACCCCAAAAAGTAAAACCTCTCGGTGCAGTGGGCTTTGGATGCCTTATGAACATTTCTTTTCAAGAGGGAATCTGATCTTGATAATTTCTTGCTCATCATAAGGAACAACTTTTGGCGTTTTTGTTTCAATGGGTTGACATTCAAGACCTTCCAATCAATTAGTTAAACAAGTACATAAACAAATGTTTTTTGGTATAAGAACAGAAACATACATTATTCAGAGTTTAATATCAATATAGATGCTCACAGCCTCACTGCAGTACTGCAAGTTATTGATTTCCACCATAAAATCTCCTTTCCGGCTGGTGGTGGCTACTTGTTCCAGCTGCATGCTTCTTCGCCATAGCAACAACAGCATCAGCATGCCTCTGCCCTGCACGATGATTATTGAAATCTGTCTCACTAAGACAGACCACATTACATATAGCACAAGTCCTTAAAGTATGGGGTGCTGCCCCACTTTCAAGAACCTTCCTTCTCTTAGTTTCCAAATCCTCTACAGGTTGATAAGCAGCTTTCCTCTTACTATTTTGTCCAGGGATGGGTTTTTTGCCTTTCAACTTATCCATGTTCATCTTGTGCTTTTTTCCCAATTTATGCTTATCAAGTACCTCCTTGGTGTCGCAATAAACATTGCATATGTCACAATGAAGTTTTGGAGTACCATTTCCAGAAGCCCGAGAAGTCGGAGTACCATTTCCAGAAGCCCAAGCAGTCGGAGTACCATTTCCAGAAGCCCAAGCATTGGAGTTGCTCCACAAGGCGGCATTCGGATTTGCAGTAGCAAAGTGTCCTGTCCCAATTGATGGCACTGAGATACCCTGAAAGATGGGAGGGTGGTTAATTTTGACATGAACAACAATAAAATGAATACAACACAGACATGCATTGATTGATGTAATCTGAATAACACCATAAAATCATTCTTCCATCAATTGACTTTGACTGCTAACAGTTTGATTTTGTGAAAACAACATGTTAGATCTTCGGACAACAAAACACAAGACGTATTAACTTTAATGCAGAAAACAAAAAATTGCAACCAAATAATTGCAGTGGAGAACTCCATAAATCAGCTGACAAGACTAGCAGTGAAGAGCCCGAAATAATTGCAACAAAACCAGGCCAAATAACTACAGAATGGAGAAGAAAATGTGAAAAGAGAAGAAGAAGAAGTTAAAAAGAACAAAGCTTCCTAGTTTTGCTCTCAGAAACTCATTTTGGCTCACTTCGCCCCTCAAACTACACCTCAGGTTTTCAAATACCCAGCAACATTCATCTCTCTCTTCTCTTTCCCTCGTCTCTATTCTCTCCCATGATTCAGCCATATTCCTCTCACTCCTCCAAGGATGGAGCCATGAAAGCGGGATGGGCTGAACTAATTTCTTTTCCTCAAGGAAAAATGCATATGCATAGATATAAATGTATTTCTATAACCAAAATTTATTAATTAAGGCTAATTAACAATGTATAACAAGATTCAACAAACTTATACCTTAAAGGCAAACAAGAGAAACAGCAAGTGACCCAAGGCCCACAAGCTAACAGACCACATATCAAGAAGGGCACGCCCAACAGACAGCACAAATGAAGAAAGGCTACAAGATGATACATACGAGGAAAGACTACTAGAGGATACAGCCAGGAAACAATATACTAGTACAGAAACTAACAAAAACTAGAAATACAAAACCCAACAACTAATAGATACAAAGACTATTCACAAGCTTATCAGTACTGAGGAAGGAGAGAAAAAACGAAAACCAGAAGCTGTGCTGCTAGAGTGTGGAGTAGGCTGGGCTAAAAAGCTAAAATTTCTAGAAATGATATTTTTTCCTGAGATGACCTGGGCTAGCCCCCACATTGTACCGTCCCTGCTATTTTCTGTGCTTGATTTGCTAAATACATAGGTACGGATTTTTTCTCTTATTTATTTGAGATTTCAACTATTCTAAGCAGCAACATAAACTTTTTCTGTTCCTTTGCATGATTTTCCGAAGAAGGAAGTGGAGAAGGGAAACTTGTGTGGCTATATAAGCTTGCTTTAAAACTTGGAAATAAATCCAGGGTCTTTGGAAATGAAGGGCCCATTTGATAACAATATTGTTTTTAGTTTTCAGTTTTCAAAAAATCAAGACAGATCATGAAAGCAAGGTGAGAAATGAAATGATAGATAATTGTATTGATCAACAATTAAATTCCACAAATCAACATTTAAATACACACATGAAAAGCCCTGCCAGACCCATTCCTTACCATCTTCCCTTACTTCCCTCACCTCTCCTTTAAATATCACTCCTCTAACCCACTCTATCACATTAATACCAACACAAAACGGAAACAGAATAAAAAGTGATAACAAAATCACAGAAATCTACCTAAAACAGATATTCAGCCTTTTTTCCAATTCCACCAAAACTAATTAAGGATTAACCTTCCCTGACAGAGAGTTTGATGTTCAAAAGCCTCACTGCACTTGCTTCTCAAATGTGATTTGATGCCTCAGTTTACTTGACAAGGTTAACTGACCTGGTCGCATGTTTTTCTAGGGTGGGTTTTTGTTTGGGTGGGAGATTTAATATTTGGAGTTTATCTTGATTAGTACTTTGTTGCTTTGTTTACCATTGCTTTGTTACTTCGTTGCCCCTGTTTCTGGAAAATTTTCAAGTTTGATTATTAATGCAACGAATTTACACTAATTAAGGACTCTGAATGATCACAAAATGGAAACTAGTTGAAGTCAAAATTTGCTAACATTCATATACATACATATTGAGGCGTTTTACACACCCTTATATCAATGGAAATTATTCACAATCCCCAAACCAATTTTATACGCTCAGTGTCTTATTTCAATCTTGGGGAGCTGCAGATCCAATGGGTAAGAAAATGAAGTTATAGCCATCCGCCTTTGAGAACACAGAAACAATGACGTTAATGCAGCCATGGCAATGGCCCTTTTGCAAGCACCCTAAGACACTTCCTTCCAAGCTAGATAGTATGTTCAGGACTGTAAATTCAGCGTTCTTTGATCCCCTTGATGGGGTTGAAACACCTGAGCCGTTATTCACAACTCATCACTAGAGTCAACAAGTTTTACAATAGTCTGAGGACTACTTTGATAGGGAGTCCTTGGAAATGGTGGTCTATGGGGCAAGGTCAGAGAGGCTGTGTTTGGAGCCAAAAGAGAATGAAGCATAGCAGGCAGGAAGATAGAGAGAGATGAGAAAGAAGAGAGGGACGAGAGAGGATGTTGACAGACAAAAATGTGCATCAAACTTTGCCACGTAGGGACCACATCAACTTGGTCAATGGAAAAGACTATAGACTTGAAGGAATGGGGTATTTTGAAACACGAGGTGTAGTTTGGAGGAGAAATGAGTTCCAGGGGAAAAGTGAGACACGCAGCATAATTGGGGAGCAAATGTGTAATTAAGCCTAATAAATATTCTTCCATTGATTGAATCTTACTGCTAAAAGTTTTAATTTTGGAAAGCAGACAACATGTTAGATATTCAGATTCACCTACCATACATATGTTAGACAACCCCTGGCATATATTAAGCTTACAACAGGGACTAAAAATCTATGCGTAGATGTACGTTTAGCCCAAGACACGTTTGCTCCCATACACACGAAAAGTGAATCCACCCTTACTCTTGAATCAGTACAGTCCTGGTATGGTAGAGTGTAGATCAGTTATGTCTTTACACTGGATATGTTCAGATAAATTTCTGATAGACAGGGTGTGTGATCTCTAGTTTTCTACATAAAAATTCATAAGAAGAGGCATCCCAATTTTTTTTTTGTTTTGGGTGGGAAGTCCTCAAAACTCAGTTCAACCATAGTTACCTATAGAAAAGACAACCACGTACAACCTTTAACAAGTACAACAGGAATTTCCGATTAATCCTTTTTCTGTTATTTGAATATCCAATAAGTACGGGAACAACCAGAACAAATGTAAAAAGAAAATTCATGAGAAGGCTCATCCCAATGGGTCAATGGCAATATATTTACTCAAAAATCCAGATCACACATTCAAACTGACATGAAAATGCACCATATGTATGTGGAAATTCATGATCCAAGCAAAACCAAAGTAAATTAATTTAGGTTGTGAACAACAAGAATACCATTTGCTGCAGGTTGACCTCATGCTGCTCAAGACCTTTCTTGTGCTCTTTCTTAAGATCATTCCATTGAGCTTCAAATTTCAACAAGGCTCTGCCCTGCTCTAAGAATGCCTTCTCAAGGTGGTACCTTAGGTCCTGAAAGTTTTGATGCAATTTTGCTATTTAACAGCATAAAATGAAAAATAAAGCTAGTAAGCTACTACAGGCCACAAAACCGGACTAAAAGAAATGAAATTGAAAACAGGAAGCCCTTTTCAAAGGCAAAGGGCAACATGGGCATCAAATTGAAACTCAGACTCACCAATGGCTTTATCCATTTCTTCTGAACAGCTATCCATTTCAAACCTGAAATACAAAAACACAGCTGGGTTTGGTGTTTTTTTGGCCGGCTATGCTTGTCTGCGAAATTGCAATTGGTAGGAACTTGGAACCCACATGAAAAATAAGTGTTCTGGAAAATTGGGCATCAGAGCATTTGATTGAAGCTCTTAACTAGGAAAAAAACAGAGAAGGAAACTGGGTTTAAAGGGCGATTAAAGAAAGAGGAAGTAAAATGGTACAGTCAACTATGTGAGAATCTGTAGCTGGGTTGGAAATTGAATGCAGTAAAGTGCAGTGTGTTGGGTTTTTGAAGGAAGAAAGAAGTGGGCTGAGAGAAACCAAGCAAACTTCGTTTCCTCCGCCCACCAATTAGCTCTCTTGCATGTATGCATGAAGAAGAGAGCTGGGTTTTGTACCAGGAAATTCTCAGAAATCTGCGAACAAAATTTCTGCACTTTTTACCTGAGGGAGTATACTGTGTTGGACAGTGTCGAAAGTGTTTCTTAACAAGGAAGAAGAAAGCCAGCTGGTCTTCGGCCCAGGCCCACCAACATGTATGCTGATGGGCCAAGCCACTTTCCTTCTCTGCTTTGAGAAATGAAAACCCTTTAAATTAACTTAACCAGCAAGAAAGAAAGGGTGTTAATCGCTGGACATTAGCATTTTGATTTTAGGCATTGAAGTAAGTGAGAGGAGCAAAAAGAACGAAAAAACTGTTTAGATCAGGTATCCTATTATGCAGTCTTTAATGCTTGTTCTGCTAAGATTTGAATATTGATTTGGAATGGAGTCTGGTTTCTTGTATTACAATTAAGGTTTCTTGAATTCGAGGTAACAACGGTTCGATCTCATCTATTTTAGAGCATCTCCAGCACGCAACCCAAACCGGGGGAAAGGCCCTCCTGGCGAGCCCAAATGCCCTCCTGCGCAAGAGACTAGGCCCGGGTAAGAGCTGGGTCCCACCAGCCCGGGCAAGCCCAAGGGCAGGTTTCGCCTGGGCTTCAGCTCGAGGGCTGTGACGTCACAGCACGGTAATTCAAATTTTTCAACGGTAAAAAAATTTGACTTTCGCTCAATGACGTCAGCACTGATAGAATCCAACGGGCATGCGCCACGTGTCGCAACCCGGACACTCCGATCGATTTTTTTCCAAAAATCCAACGGTCCTATTTTTTTGGCCAAAAAAATTCTGGATTTTTTCCCTATAAATACCTACCAATATTATTCACTTTTCACACCAAATCTTCATACAAATTCATCTCATTCCAATATTTTTCACTTTCCACACCAAATTATCTACTACAAAATTCCATTTGTGCAAAAATACAAATGGCATCTTCCATCAAAGCCGGAGGGTCGTGGACAAACATTCGAAGAGGTCAAAATCTTGACGACGAGGTAAAAAAAATAAATTTGTCGTTTTATTCAATTTAATGTCATTATATATATATATATATATATTTCTTGCATTTCCAATTTCCTTTTTTTTTAATAGATTATTCAAGGGAAAACAAAAAAGAGGAAAACCATTACACATGGCTCCTCAAGTGAACAATGCCCGCAGTCGGTTCCAATGGGGCGTTCCGTGTCAGAAATAATGGCACTATTAAGGTCCTCTGAAGGAAAATACTCCCCCACGTCGTGATCCGGTGGAACCGCCTCCGCCAATGATGGAGTTGTCCTTGTATTCCATTGTGTCGAACTATGAGGACCAAGAATATTTCAATTGTATAATGAGTGAGTAGGTATTTCAATTGTATGATGAGTGAGATGTGAATTTTATAATAAATATGGACACGTGGCAACCAAAAATTTTATCCGAAAATTTTATTTGAAAATTTTATCCGAAAAATGTTATATTAAATTTTAAGTGAAAATTTTATAATAAATAGTGACACGTGACAATTGAAAATATAATCTAAAAAGCTTATCAAAATTAATGGTTTAAAGTATAAAAAAAATAGGAAATAAAGTACAATGAATAGTATTTGCCTTAGACTTGCCCTAGACTTAGACCTCATGGGTGGAACCACAAATGGCAAGGTTGACACTATTCACGTGAATAGTGGCAGCCCTTGCTTGCCATTGCCCTAGACTTAGCCCTTATGGGTGGAGATGCTCTTAGGTTTTCTTAATTTGCTGAGCCGAGGATCAACTATGGCATGCATGTTTGTTCTTAGTTACAGTTAGGGTCGAATCCAGGATTTCGAAATACACTGGGCTAGATTTCCCATATAAACAAACTTGACGATACGAGTGAATTTCATTGATAACAAAAATTAAACACTTAATCAGGGGGGACTTATTGAGCCACACCCTCAAAATGCATCTAGTACATAAGATATAAACTAGTAAAAAAAGACAATAATACATAAACATGCAATGCAAATACATAACTATTTTAGTTGCACCCTTCTAGGCTTCAAAGAGTTGAACTCACTAAATAAACATGCAATACCATAGTTTTTCCCAACAAACGTAAGGAAAAAACAAATTCAAACATCATGGCAATATAAATACTCTTAGCTTCCCCATGAAATTGTGATGTAGGTCTATTACGACCTATTTCATCAAGAAGGGTCTTGGTTGCACTAAATAAATCAATCAAGCTTCTGATAGAACTAAAATGAGACCCCCAAGAAGTGTCTTGGCTTCTTTGCATTTTCACCCTCACGAATTGATTATTTCTATTTTTTTTTCCCCACTCAAGTAGGTTTTGACTATGTTTGCTGTAGTGGGCTATCTCTTCTATTTAGCTATAGATATTTGTTTTTAGGCTAAGATTACATCACATTTAAAAATCAAAATTTTTTTGGCATGGGCTATAGCCCGTACAACCCATTAGCTGCATTCATCCCTGGTTACAGTTGTTCGATCTCTTAACCTAGCATAATTATCATTTCCTACAATTCCTCACTAATATGGATAATTTAGACAACTAGATAGCCCAACTATTGTCATATCTACTTTATACGAGTGATAACTTTGAAAAAGTAAAAAATCAAAAATGGACAATAGAGACTAGGGCAATAGTCAAATAGTAATGGATAATGCTCTAAACTACTCTTATTCATAAACGAAAATTAGGAAAAAGTATATATATATATATATATATATATAAGTCCCGTTCTCTTGGACTACAGGGGTCCAAGGAATTTGTGGTCACTCACCGTTGGATGTAAATTCAACGGTTCACTCACTCTTGCACTCATTTTAAGAAACTTTTTTGAACCATTGGATTCACACCCATAGGTGGGTGACCACAATCTCTTGGACTCCTGTGGTCCAAGAGATCGGGGCTGATATATATATATATATAGATATTTAAAGAGTATAGCTGGGTGGCTATACTATTTATTATTATTATTTTTTAAAAGAACCCCAGTATAGCCAGGTGGCTATGATGTTTAAATATAATATTTAAAGAGTATAGCCGTGCGGCTATACGATTAAAAAAAATAAAAAAAAGATAGGCCTTTTTTTTAAAGAGTATTACCGCGCGGCTATACTCTATAAATGAAATATTTTTTTATGTATAGCCGCACGGCTATACCCATTAGCACAATCTGAATTTCTCTTTTTTAATTACTTTAATTAGTAGTTATATTTTACTTATTATTTACTAAGTGAACAATTAGTATTTATTTTTATTCAATAATATGTGAGTATTTGTATCATACGTTTGCTTTTTAAAAAAAACTTGCATTTTACCGAGTCTTTAAGACGTTTACGGAAAACGAAAGTATTATTGAAAAATACATACGTACATGTATAATACGAGTATTAAATGGGAAACTGCTAAAATTCTTAATACGGGTAATAACTCTGGAAAATAAAAAAATGGACAATAGAGACTCAGGTAATGGCCTAATAGTAATGGATAACACTATAAACTATTCTTATCGATAAATGAAAATCAGGGAAAAATAATTATATATAAAAAAAAAGGATTTTAGTAGATATTTAAAATTAATAATTATATTTTAAACAAATTAAAAGGAACCAGTATAACCTCGCAGCTGTACTATTAATTTTTTTATTATAAAAAAATTGAGTTTTTTTTTTATAGGAGTATAGCCGTGCGGATATACTATTATATATATATATATATTTAAAAGAACTCGGGTGTTTTTTTAAAGAGTATAGCCGTATGGCTATAACTCATAAATAGAATATTTCGAACGTATCGCCGCGCGACTATACGTTATAAATAGAATTTTCTTTTTAAACAGTATAGCCGCGCGACTATACCCATTAAATAGCATAATCTGAAATTCTCTTTTTTAATTACGTTACTTAGTTGTTATGTTTTAGTTATCATTTACTTAGTGAACAATTATTATTTAAATATTTAAATATATTTTATTTTTATTAAATAATTTGTGAGTATTTGTGTATAATACGTGACTGTTTTTGTGTATTATTGAAAATTTTGTAAAAGACACTTGTCTACTTTTTCAATAATACGTGTTTTTTGTGTACTTTTTTTAAGAAGCTTATAGCCGCACGGCTATACCCCATAAAAAGAATATTTCAAAAGTAGGGCAGCTATACCCATTAAATTACTTAATCTAAATTTCTCTTTTTTAATTACTTTAATTAGTTGTTATGCTTTAGTTATTGTTTTTTTTTGGTGGGTGAGTAGGGGGCACGGCCCCAGCAACAAACAAAACTAACTATTATCAAAACAAGATCCAGCGGGTCTTAGAGACCCCCATCACGTCGTCAGCTAATAAGGTGCCAATCCAAGCTGGAGCAGAGTCAAGAGGCCATACGCCCAGATCACCGTTGTAGCTCGCTTGGGCTAGACTGTCAGCCACACAGTTCTGCTCACGGTAAACATGATTTACACCACAATTTCCAAGTTGTTCAACAAACTTTCTGCAGTCTGAGAGCACTCCAGGAAGAGGATGAAAGCTAGGGGTCTCAGACCTTTGGAGAAGATGTACTGCAGTTGCAGAATCCATCTCTACCACAAGGTTAGAGATACCTCTTTCTGCTGCCAATTTAAGGCCAAAGAACAGCCCCCATATCTCAACATCTAAGATCTGGCCTTTGCCTAGATTAACTGTAAAACCCGTGACCCAATCCCCTAAAGAGTTTCGAATCACACCTCCAGCACCAATAGCTCCATTAGAACTTATCCGAGACCTATCCACTTTCAGTTTGAAGCCACCAACAGCGAGGGGCTCCCAAGCTAGAGGGACCTGAGTCTTGAGAGTTTTGGACTGGAGAGCATAAGCATTAGAGAACCATTCTCTTGCAGCATTCAAAATAACAATCAGCGGGCTAAAAGGAAGGGGTTCCTCCTCATTAAACACATATTGATTCCTCCATTTCCATATATACCAACAAGTAAAGACAAACCCAATGCTCCATGGCATCCCAGCTGTTGCGTATACCCAAGTGCAAGTAGTCACACGTAGTAATAATCTTGGAAGTCCAAGTATTTTATCCTCAAGGAGCAGGTAGGCAAATATCTGCACACAAAGAAATAATTAAACGTACCACAATAAAAGTGACAAGAAAAATGGAAAAGTAATTTGATTTGATTGTTGTGGAAATTGAGTTTAAAAATGAAATATCAATAATGGAAATGCTAAGGCATCAAGGTTCAATTCTTTAAACAAAATATGTTTCGTGCTCTTTAATCCAAATTATAACTCGATTAAAATCATCATTGAGAAACTTTAACCGGAAGATAAAGAAATTAAAACTAATTTAATTTTTCAATGTAATCTTTTATTAATGATTGTTTAGAAAATGAAGTTGCTTAATATCTACTCTTTTAATTTGAAAGCATGCCGAGTCAATTCTTAACAATGAGAAAAATATAATTGAACTCATGAAAAGATAATAGAACTTAACATCAATCAAAATAAAAGGATATGAAAATATTGAACAACCAAAAATAAAATAATTTAGCAATTCATACCGTATATTGAATTAAAGAACAATTCACAAACTTACTCGAAGAACGTTCCCTTTAGCCTTAGCTAGAGCTCTAGCAACTCATTACAAAGGAAAACATAAACTAACAAGTGAAATTATATTCATTAAGCCAAAATTATATCATAAAGTCTCCAAAATAATATTAAAAAAATATAATTTGAGACTCTCATCACCAGCACTCCAACTAGTTTTAGATAGCAGATTACTATAGATCCAGGCTTTGAGATTAGCGTGGAAAAACAGTGTGCTTGGTGAATGGGTTAGCACATTATTCCATATACTTTGAGCTCTGGGGAAATCTCTAAGAATATGGAGAACAGATTCCGAAGTCCAACCACAGATACCATAGGAAGGGTCAGCGGTTAGATTTCTTTTTGCCCTTTGTTCATTGGAAGAGATTTTATCGTGGTAAGCCAACAGAAGAAAATCTGTAGCTTGGGGGGAATCTTCAGTTTCCATAAGGGATCAACCCAGTAATTATTAGCAAACAGCAGCTCATAAGCAGTTTTGACAGTGAAGATTCCATTGGCAACATGCTTCCAGATCTGGGAATCCTTGCAACTTAACGGCGACAACAACAGTCGTTGCCATTTGGGAATCTAGTCAAGTTGTCTTTGGAAAAGACAGTACTTGAGATTAAATATTTATACAATTCGGTGTGGTTCGGTTTGTCCATAAGCCAGTTCGGTTTTTGATTTTGGAGAGGAAATTTTATTAAAATTTTTTTTTTACAAAATCCAGCTAAAATTTTATTTTTATGGCTTTAAAAATCACAAATGACCCAATTTCATACAAAGGGAGGTGATTATGCCTAGAAAAGAGAGGTGATTTGAAGTTGGGCTTAAGAAAAGATTAGTTATGGATTAAATATTTTATTAAAAATTAAAAAACGGCCAAGTTCGGTCTTGTCCAAATTTTTCACTACAAAAACCAAAACTGAACCAAACTGGTCCAGCCCATTTTTGGTCAACTTAGTCCAATTTCTATCCTTCATATCCGACTCATTAGAGTCAAAGACCCTTATCCTTGGAGAACATTGCCATCCCTACTGCTAGTTTGTTTTCTGAAATGAACTTTTGAGGGTCCTGGATATGTGATCACCCTAATAAAACTAAAAATCAGGACATATATTTAGAGAGAGGTTTATTAATTATATTTTGATCTCGACCAGAATACTTATCATTATTCTTTTCATCTTTTTTCTACAGCCTTATGTTATCATCAGATATGTATTCGTATTTTCATAAAGTCCATGGTGTACAAGTCTTATATGTATGACTTATGAGAAGAAAACAAATTGTATAACACAATTGTTTTCGTTCAATAACAATCCACTGAATTGAATTCAAGCAAACCAACGTATGATTGGTGCCAGAAGAAATTAGGGAGATTCACTAATATACCCAATATAGGAGCTCAAATTATAAAAAAACTTTATATGAAATGGAATTTATAAACACACCCAAAACCCATTTATAACATAACAAAAAGGCTTTTAACTTCTTTTAAATTACAAAATTGCTATTGATTTCTTAAAACAAACCCAACCCAAAATTTCATAAAAAAGCTCAAAACACTCAAGAAGGTATCAAAGTAATTTAATAATTAAAATTTAATTTAATAGTACCATTTGTCATTTTTTGGGTATGTTTATAAAAATGAAATGATGTAGGGTTTATTTATAGTTTTAGTGCTAATAATGGGTATGTTACTAAATATCTCAAGAAATTAACCACTGCCCTTTATCAACGTACGTATTTCTTCCACCACACGTTGGTCGAAATGTATTGTTGCTGGGGATGTTTCCACTCAGCTTCATGGGGTCAATTTTGTAATTGTAAATTTTAACAACCATACAAGTACAACAAAAGTGGTTGCGAGAACAGTACCCCAAGGAAATGAGGTCGTCTCAATTTGGAAAAGCAAGTCAACAAGGACTAATTTGGCATTTTCCGTAGACTGCACATTTTACGTTTAGAGAAACAAAGTCATGGGGTGATTCCGACCAAAAAAAGTCATGGTGTGATTGAGAGAGTCCAATCCAATGACAGCGTCTGCGTGATTTATGGCCAATTCTTTGCAAGTGACTAATGGAAGCAAGTCAAAGTTTTTTGTCTTTGGAAAGCAAGTCAACCGTGGCTGATCGTAATGACCGAACTTGGTTAAGCCAGTTTGCCATGCATCTGAGAATGGGGGTTTTGGTTTTGAAACTGATTTTATTAATATACTCACTTCTGAATGGGGCATTGTTCGTTTGCTCCATGCATTTGAGAATGGGAGGCAACGAGACCGATAGGCTTGCACTGCTAGCCATCAAAGCTCAAATAACGCAAGATCCTCATAATGTAACGAGCTCCTGGAATGAATCCATTCACTTTTGCTCGTGGCACGGTGTCTCCTGCGGTCGACGCCATCGCAAGAGGGTCACAAGGCTAGACCTCCAATCTCAAAAGCTGGCAGGGTCCCTATCCCCACACATAGGAAATCTAAGTTTCCTAAGGGAGCTAGAACTACAAAACAACAGCTTCAGCAATAAAATCCCACCAGAAATTGGGCATTTGCGTAGATTACAGGTATTAAGTCTAAACAACAACTCATTTAGTGGCCCTATTCCATACAACATATCATATTGCTCCAACCTCATCTTCATTAATTTCGGTCTCAACGGGTTGGTGGGTAGAATTCCATCTGAATTAGGCTCTTTGCCGAAGCTTCAAATTTTTGTTTTACAAGTTAATCATTTAACAGGAGAGATCCCTCCTTCCTTGGGAAACCTTTCGTCTCTCGGGGTACTTGCTGCATATCAAAATAACTTGGTGGGAAGCATCCCTACTTCTCTAGGCCAATTGAAAAACTTAACATTTTTGTCACTGGGCTCAAACAACTTATCTGGTACCATTCCTCCCTCCATCTATAACCTCTCTGCTCTTTATACTTTTAACGTAAATTTTAATCAATTTCAAGGGAGGCTTCCATCAGACTTTGGAAAAACTCTTCCTAATCTCCAAAAGTTTAGCATTGCTTTCAACCAATTTTTTGGATCCTTGCCTCTCTCACTATCAAATACCACAAGTCTACAGTTACTTGAAATTCAACATAACAACCTCACAGGTCAGATGCCGGATTTCCAAAAGCTTCATAATCTATACATATTCCTCATTCAACAGAATCATCTTGGAAGCGGTACAGATGGTGATTTGACGTTCGTCTCGGACTTGACCAATGCCACAGAGTTAAAATGGTTGGTTATAAATGACAACCATTTTGGAGGGACGTTGCCCACATCAATATCCAATCTCTCAACCAAACTTGAATGGTTTTGGTTTCACAGAAACCAAATACATGGAAGCATCCCAACAGACATAGAAAACTTGGTCAACTTGGAGTCGTTGGGAATGGGAGACAATAGCTTGACGGGTAACATTCCCACTGAAATTCGGAAGCTTTCAAGCCTTGTGGAATTAGATATTTCTATGAGTGCATTATCAGGAAGCATTCCATCCTCCTTAGGAAATTTAACCAAGTTATACAATCTCTTCTTAAATGGAAATAATCTTGAAGGCGTCATCCCTTCAAGCTTGGGGAATTTAACCAAGTTGATAAAATTGGATTTATCTAATAATAAACTTAGTGGCGCAATACCTCAACAAGTTATCGGCCTCCCGTCCTTATCACTGCGATTGAACTTGTCTAGGAACCACTTTACGGGATCTCTTCCGATGGAGGTTGGAAAGTTGAAGAGTCTGGGTGAACTGGACGTGTCTAATAACATGTTATCCGGCGAACTTCCTAGTAGCCTTGGTTCATGTGAGAGTTTAGAAGTCTTACACTTGCAAGACAACTTCTTCAAGGGGTCTATTCCCTCATCTATGATTGGGCTGAAAGGCATAGAAGAATTAGACCTTTCTCGCAACAATTTGTCGGGTGAAATTCCAAAATTCTTAGGGGACTTTGTCTTCTTGAAGAAACTAGACCTATCATTCAATGAATTTTGGGGAGCGGTACCAACTGGAGGAGGTGCTTTTAAAAATGCAAGTGCGATTTCAATTACCGGCAACACCAAGCTCTGCGGGGGAATTGCTGATCTCCAACTGCCCAAGTGCAAGTCCCAAAAAGGAGGATCATCTCGTAGCTCGAAATTAATAATCCCGTTAGTACTTTCCGGACTTGCTCTTCTTCTAATAGTTATGGTGATGTCCTGTTTCTTCCTCTGTTCGTCAAGAAGGAAAAGGAAAGAGATTCCGTTGAGCACATTGGCGAGCAATTTTTTGCAAGTTTCATATGCTACTCTCCTAAGAGCTACTGACGAGTTCTCTTCGGCTAATTTGATTGGTGCAGGCAGTTTTGGGTCTGTGTACAAAGGAATTCTTGATGATAATGATAAACATCAACTTGTTGCTGTGAAGGTGTTCAACTTGTTACGCCATGGAGGATCAAAGAGTTTCATGGCCGAATGTGAGGCTTTGAGAAACATCAAGCATCGAAATCTTGTCGAGATTATAACTGCATGTTCAAGTGTTGATTTTCATGGTCATGATTTCAAGGCTCTGGTTTACGAGTACATGGACAGAGGAAGCTTAGAGGAGTGGCTGCATCCTCCTACTGAAATTGAAGAGGTAAGAGAGGCACTCAATCTAGAGCAAAGGCTAGACATTGCCATTGATGTTGCTTGTGCATTGGATTATCTTCATAATCATTGTGAAACACCGATAGTTCATTGTGATCTCAAGCCAAGCAATGTTCTTTTGGACAACGAGATGACTGGACATGTTTCTGACTTTGGACTCGCAAGATTTCTCTCCCAAGAAGCTGGTATTAATGTTTCCAACAATCACACAAGTTCCATTGGAATAAAAGGAACGGTTGGTTATGCTGCTCCAGGTAAAATTTTCTATCCTATATGCTATACTGTCCTTTTTTAACTTTTAATCTTACATAATATTCACAAATGTGCTGACAATATTTGATGTTGTTTGAATGGTAGAGTATGGTATGGGAAGCGAGGTGTCAACAAATGGAGATGTCTACAGCTTTGGCATTCTCTTGTTAGAGATTTTCGCAGGAAAGCGACCCACCGACGACATGTTTAATGGGGACCTAAACCTTCATACTTTTGTTAAAATGGCTTTACCTGAGCGAGTTACGGACATTGCAGATTCAACACTTTTTGAAGGAGGCAACAACGAGAGAAGAGTTGAAAAAATTGTGGTGTGCTTGAATTCAATATTTAGAATTGGAATTGAATGCTCTGCTGAATCTCCAACAGAGCGTCTAAAGAATATCAGTGATGCTGCATCTGAACTGCATTCCATTAGAGACGTTCTTCTTCGATAGGAACTTTTTCTGCTATGGGTTTGTGTGATATGGGGTTCTTCTTAGAGATGTTTTTATGCGCTGCCTCAGAAATACTCTTGTTGCTGCTACAGTAGATGAGTGTTCTACTACTTTTTATTTTTATTTTTATTTTTATTTTTTGGGTCGAACTTCTTCTACTACTACTACGTCGTTGTATTTGTGTGTTTGGGCTTGAAGCCCTTAGAAATGTGATCAAACAACTACAATATTGTCTAAATCTCTTATCTTAAATAAATCTGAATGTGCACTTCATCCCATTGCCTATTTTATAAAAACTAATTGTTACTTCTTAGATCAATTAGTGTGTAGTTTTATTGCAAATTGCAACTTAATGCTGGCAACAACAGTCGTTGCTGTTTGGGAATCTAGTCAAATTATCTTTGGAAAAGACATTACTAGGGATTAAATATTTATACAATCCAGTGTGGTCTAATTTGTCCATAAGTTAGTTCGGTTTTCGATTTTGGAGTTGGACTTAAAGTTTTTTTTACGGGTTATAAATTTTTTTTATGAGCTTTTGTTTTTGTTTTTAAATTTGTTTTACAAAACTCAACTAAAATTTTATTTTAAGGCTTAAAAATTCACAAATGGCCCAATTTCATACAAAAGGAGGTGATTGGGCCTAAAAAAGAGAGGTGATTGGGAGTTGGATTTAGGAAAAAATTGGTTATGGTTTAAACTTTAAACATTTAGCACTCGGATTAAATATTTTATTAAAAATTTAAAAAATACACGGCCGAACAACCTGGTCCAAAATTCACTACAAAAATCAAATATATACCTTATGTCATATTCACATGTTATCATCAGATATGCATTCATATTTTCATAAAGTCCATGGTGTACAAGTCTTATATGTTTTCCTTTAATAACAATCCACTGAATTGAATTCATTGTTGCTGGGGCTGTTTCCACTCAGCTTCATGGGGTCAATTTTGTAATTGTCATTTTAACAACCATACAATACAAGTACGACAAACAGTGGATGCAATGCAAGAACAGTATTCAAAGGAAATGAAGTCGTCTCAAAACAAAATAATGAAGGGCTGAACACTTTTTATTTATTTATTTTTAACAAAACAAAATAAAAAAATAACAAAGTACTTTGGTGGTGAGATTTGAGAAATTAAAAAAGAATTGTTCAATTTCATCAACGGGGAAAGAGAAGTGGGAAGGTGGGGTGAATATGTGGAGGGGATGAGGGAGATGTGGTTTTGGGGTAATGAGGGGGAGAGGAAGTGGGTCTCTTGTATATGCTTCTTTGAAGAGAGCATTTTGTTGGGTTTGATAGTGAAGAGAACTTGGGAGTGGGAGAAGGGAGAAGAGAGAAGGGTCTGATACTGACAAAAAAAACGTGAGAAGAATAGGGTGGAAAGCGGAAAGGTAGCTTAGGAAGTGTGTAATTTTTTAATTTTTTTTTAATTTTTATGGGAAGAGAGGAAGCGTGCAATTTGTTTATTGGAAGAAGAGGAAGCCTGCAATTGTTTTATGGGAAGAAGAGTTCTTCTGGCTGGAAATGGAAACGGTGTTTTTTTTTTTAAATTTTTCTTTAATTTTAAATTTTTATTTTCATGGCCGACCCTGACTGCAGTTGCAGAATCCATCTCTACCACAAGGTTAGAGATACCTCTTTCTGCTGCCAATTTAAGGCCAAAAAACAGCCCTCATATCTCAACATCTAAGATCTGGCCTTTGCCTAGATTAACTGTAAAACCTGCGACCCAATCCCCTAAAGAGTTTCGAATCACACCTCCAGCACCAATAGCTCCATTAGAACTTTTTCAAGACCCATCCACATTCAGTTTGAAGCCACCAACAGCAGGGGGCTCCCAAGCTAGAGCAACCCGAGTCTTGAGAGTTTTGGACTGGGGAGCATAAGCATTAGAGAACCATTCTCTTGCAGCATTTAAAATAACAATCAACGGGCGAAAAGGAAGGGGTTCCTCCTCATTAAACACATATTGATTCCTCCATTTCCATATATACCAGCAAGTAAAGACAAACCCAATGCTCCATGGCATCCCAGCACTCCAACTAGTTTTAGATAGCAGATTACTATAGATCGAGGCATTGAGATCAGCGTGGAAAAACTGTGTGCTTGGCGAATGGGTTAGCACATTATTCCAGATACTCTCAGCTTTGGGGCAATCTCTAAGAATATGGAGAACAGATTCTGAAGTCCAACCACAGATACCACAGGAAGGGTCAGCAATTAGATTTCTTTTTGCCCTTAATTCATTGGAGGAGATTTTATCGTGGTAAGCCAACAGTTTCCAAATCAGTTTCCAGAAATCAACCCAGTAATTATTAGCAAATAGCAGCTCATAGGCAGTTTTGACAGTCAAGATTCCATTGGCAACATGCTTCCAGATCTGGGAATCCTGCAGATCGCTATTAAAACCATCAGGGGAGCTGATGATCTGTTGCACTAGGTCCTTGCTAAGCACAGAACGCAGCTTTCCAATATCCCACCAACCATCAATGACAAAGTTGTTGATATTGCAGTTTAATTGCTCTGGGGTCAAGGTGTTTGTATGATTCAACGAAGGCTTAGCAGAATCCAGTGGTCTTTCCAGAAACAAACAGCATCCCCATTACCAATTCGCCATTGTATTCCTTTACAAGGAGGTCAGCACCATGTAGGGTAGAGCAGCCTTGTTTTTCTTTCAGGGAGGGGTCAAACATGGTCTTCCCCTTTAAATATTTGGTTTCGAAATTTTTTGTGATCCTTATAATGAATTTTTTTTTGGTCGAAAGATCCTTATAATGAATGAGCCATCTAATTTTCGCAAGCAACGCCTGGTTCATGTCGGAGGTTTTTTTGAAACCCAAGTCACCTTTGGATTTGGGCCTACATATCAAATCCCATTGGCAAAGGTGCACTTTCTGTTTATTTGCACTTCCTCCCCAAAAGAAATTTATGTTTACACGGTCCAGTTCTTTACAGGTAGACATAGACAATCAGATTGCTCTTCCAAGAGGCCAATCTTTGATGGACCTTATCCACCAGTTTTCTATGAGTGTTGCGGGAGACTCTTGAGTGGAGCAGAGGCATCCCTAAGAGCACCTCCAGCGCATGGACCCAGTGGCGGATGCAGGAATTGCCACTCGTGGGGTCACAAAAATAGTGGCGGCGACGGAGACGGTTGGTGGTGAACGGCAGCTAGCACTCTTGGCGGCAGTGTCAAGGGATGAGATAATGGTGGTGGACAGGTACGGACCCAGGAATTGCAAATCGAGCGGGCTAAATTTACCTTAAGTACAAATATATTAAGAAAATTTGGTGAGTGTTTGGATTTTGATTGGTTTTTGTAGATTTTTAGGCTTGAACAATAGATTGTATGAACTAAAAACTAGAGGTAACCCACAGGAGTGACTTTTTTTTGTTGATAAATTATAAGCCCTTGTTGCTATTTTATTATATGACATTTGAAATAGAGAAAATGATGGAATTATTGATAATATTGTTGAAATATTTGGAATGGATTGAAAGGAAACAAAGAAGAAAAGAAAAAAGGAAAAGATATTTATTATATTTCCCCTCTCTCTTTTTATAATATTTCCCCCTCTCTCTCTTTTTAATCACTCCCTCTCTTTTTTATTCTTTTTTCCTCTCTCTCTCTCTCTCTCTCTCTCCTCCCGTCTTCCTCTTACTTTATTCTTTTTCCTTCTTCCTTTTTCCCCCCTCTCTTTTTTTATTCTTTTTCCTCTCTCTCTTTCTTCTTGCTCCAGCTGCCACCACCGAAGCTTCTTCTTCTTCTCCATGGGGTCACTTCCATGGCTGCCAAGGGCAAAAACCAGTCCCTACCACTAAACTCCAGATCTGCCGTGGGGTCGTCTGACCCCATTGACCCCATGGTGGATCCGTCACTGCATGGACCAGCCTGGGGGAAAGGCTGCCAGAGGGAGCCCGAGGCAGCTCCAGCGCAGGGCCCGTAGCCCGGTTTGGTGGTGGGTCCCACGAGCCCGAGCAAGCCCAAGGGCAACTTCTGCCTGGGCTGAAGCCCGAGTTTTGTGACGTCAGCGCTGGCATCACGCTGACGTCAGCGCACAGTAAACTTATTTTTTTTTTTTTTTTTTTTTTTTTTTAAAAAATTCGAAAAAAATTCGAAAAAATTCTGAAAAATTCTGAATTTTTTTTTTTTAAATACCAAAAAATTATGTATTTTTTCCCTATAAATACCTAACCATTTTATTCACTTTCTACACCAAATCTTCATAAAAACTCATCTCCTTCCAATATTTTTCACTTTCCACATCAAAATCTTGGCAATGAGGTAAAAAAAAAAAAAAAAATCTGTTTTATTCAATTTAATGTCTTTTTATATATATATATTTCTTGCATTTCCAATTTCTTTTTTTTTAATAGATTAGTCAAGGCAAAACCAAAAAATGTTATTCGAAAAATTTTATCCAAAAATTTTATTTGAAAATTTTATTCGAAAAATGTTATCTTAAATTTTAAATGAAAATTTTATAATAAATAGTGACACGTGACAACCGAAAATATAATCTAAAAAGCTTATCAAAATTAATAGTTTAAAGTATAAACAAATAGGAAATAAAGTACAATGAATAGTAATTGCCTTAGACTTGACCTAGACTTTGCCCTCATGGGTGGAACCACAAATGCAAAGGCTGACACTATTCATGTGAATAGTGGCAGCCCTTGCTTGCCCTTGCCTTAGACTTAGCCCTTGTGGGTGGAGATGCTCTAAGCATTGACCAAGGTTTTCAGTAAAGGGGGGACCCACATATACAACTTATTTCTGTAGCCAAAACATTACCGGTGTTGGGTGAGCAGTTGATTGCAGACTTTTCAAGTTAACAGTTTGGCTAGAAGCTCTATAGAATTTCTCTAGGCAATCTTTCATCACTCGAGCTTGTTGGGTGCTTGCTTCAGTAAATAAGATCAAGTCATAAGCAAAGAAGAGGTGGGAGACAAGAGGTCCGGATTGAGAGCTCTTCACAGGCTTCCACTTCTTCCTTCGTACAGAGTCAAAAATGATGTGGGAAGTTTCTCAATGCACAAGCGGAGAAAGTGGATCCCTTTGTCTAATGCTGCTGGTGGGGGTGAAACTGTCAGTGAGTTCCCCATTGACACACACCTGATGCCTTACAGTGGAAACACAAGACATAATCAATTGGCTAAGCATAGATGGTAGCCCAATTTCATTAAGAACAAACCTGATAAAGTTCCAGTTCAGCCTGTCATAGGCCTTGGATAAGTCAACCTTCCAGGCTATGAAGTCCTTTCTCCCCTTAGAGTTTTTGAATTTGTGCATGAGTTCTTGAGCCACTAGAATGTTGTCAGTTATTTGTCTCCCAGGGACAAAGCTAACCTGGTTAGGGCTTATCAAGGTCGACATCAGGGGCCTTAATCGAGCAACAATGATTTTGGATAGTACCTTGTAGAGGGTGCAGCATAAGCTTATGGGACGAAATTGGGCCATTGTTTGTGAGCTAACAACTTTGGGAACCAGTGTTATCAGTGTACCATTCAGCCCTTCAGCCACATGACAGTCTGCAAAGGCGAGGGAGGTATCCTCATGAGGATCAGAGATCGAAGTGTTGGCATCCATGTAAGTGTCAGTTTCCTTCCCAAGCTCTACACTGCTGCCATCTATATTGGGGGGTTGATGCCCAAAGATATACATCCCTTTTTAGTTATACACGTTTTGCCCACTGGCCCAGTTGGTTAATTGATCATTAATTGACACCTTATTTATAACTGTCCTCCCTCCAATCACCAACTTACCAGTAGAGTTCCAAGCCCTAGAAGTTGAGCTACTCAGGATATCCCCATGTTTTGAGCCCAAGCTCATGTAACTCTGCTTTTGTACTGGCTTGTTTGAAATGTCATTCAATACTGTTCTAGCGCCAAGCATAGCGGCCTTGGATTTTGTCCATGCTTTCTTCCCAGTATATGCTGTCCATTTTGAGGTATCCTTATGAATTGGCTGTTTGTGGTTGGCACTCCTAGCATCTCCCACACCATCACTCTCCGTATTGTCATCCATTTCTCTTAAGGCTTCAAATCTGGACCCCTGACCTTTGCCTCCAGAGATCCTGCCTTTTCCTTCTGTAGCTATAGCTTTATGTTTCCTTCAGGGGGGGCACATTCATCCATGGCCCTCTCAAACCTTCATTTGCTTCCGTATAGTTCTCGTTTTCCACCTCAGCGGGTTGTCCCATTGCATCTGCTCCTACTGCATTTGGAGTTTCACTAGTTTGACCAGCAGAAGTAGTCTTAAGGCTACAAGCCTCTTTTCTTATGTCCATAGTGCCCACACAAGTAGCAAATTTCTGGGAGGCCCTCATGCTCAATGTTGTACCAAACGTGGTTAATTTGAACAAAGGCATCTAAGGGTTTGGTCAGATCAAGTTCCACACATAATCTGGCAAATTTTCCCCTGTTCTGAGCAGTGGTGAGGCCGTCAATTTTTAGCAGTTTCCCTAACGAGTTTCTAATCCGTTTTAAAGCCCATGTATCAAAACATTCTAATTGAATAGCTGACACTCAGATCCAATCTACCATCCTAGTAATATGGGCAGTTGCTAGGCAGAACCCAGGTCGCCACTTTTGCATCACTAGATACTGACCTGAGATTATCCAAGGCCCTCCTGTAAGTACAGAGTTAAGATCTTCCTCCAAGTCAAATTTGACAACAAAGTAATCGTTGACAAGGTCAATTAATTTCCATCCCCCCTTCAGATTCCATTTCTGTTGTAATCGGGCATGAAGAAAATTGTAGGTGTGTGGTCTGCCAAGGAGCTTGATTATGAGCGCATGCTGCCAAGGCTCACATAAACGAGTCATAGCTTTCTTAGAGAACTGGATACCCGGCCCACGCTCTTCGCAAGAAGTCACAACATCCTCCTCGTCATTCAAATCATCATAGTCGGCCTCCAAAGAATTCACGTCAACCCCAAAATTCTTTGCCATGCTCATCTTGTTCATTAGTTTATCCTTGAAACTACACGAGAACGTAGAGGGATTTGGTACCTGGGCTAGTTCAGTAGGAGTCGTTGGCGGCTGTTCATGAGTCATCTCACAGTCAGCAGCTGGCTCCGTTGAGAGTCTGCTTCTTTCGGTCATCCGATAGTTTTGAAGGAAAACTCCAGGCGAGCCCTCTTCCATGTCACCACGAAGGCAAGGCCACACTGAGCCGACGGAGCCGGTCGATCTGGTCCTGGGGGAGCTCAAGTTTCTTCGCAGCGGCTAGGTCGGGGCTGACCCACTTATGCTTTAGTTATTGTTTACTTAGTCAACTATTAGTGTTTAAATATTTTATTATATTTTATTTTTATTCAATAATATGCGAGTATTTGTGTATTAAACATCACTAGTAAAGGCGTCCGCGTCATGCTGCGGGTTTTAAAACTGTCTGACAAATGTACAAAGTTATGAAAATATGTAGTAAGTTTAAGTTACAAAATAAAGACTAATAAAATGTTTTATATGTTGCTTGTCATCTTAAAATATTGGACATATTTTATTAAACCAAGCAGCAATCAAAATATCAACAATTTGAGCTGCTTTTTGTTCAAAAGAATTTGTACGTGTCCTTGCATATATGCTACTGGTGTGGGAAGGGGATTTTTCTGCCTTGATGTTTGTTGAAAAGGGATCTATCTCTTGTTAGCTCTACTGTAGAAGTGGTTTATGGTTTTCTCCGGGAAGGTTTTAACGAGGCCACACTTTACATGCCTATTATTCCTCCCTTCTAATGGAATGAAATCAACCTTTTCAAAAAAACTATGTTGGTATAAATTTAGAAAATAGCAAATGTTAGTGTAGATAAATGGAAAAATTAATTAGCCAAATCAGCGAGAGCAACCAAAAACAACACTATGAAGTTAATTAGGCACGCTACTATGCATAGCATAGAGCAAGTGATGATGTTTTCAGTAAAGTAATAATAAAGAATGACATGCTCATCAATGCTAATATAGTAATATATAAATCAGCCACTAAAATTTAGTATAAACAGTGGGGAGAGTTAGCATCCAAAGAGAGGGGCAAAAAGGGAACATAAGGAAAAATTTAGTAAAGGATAGGGGCAAAAAGGGAAGAGTAGAAAAGGTTTAGTGGAGGGCATTTTCAGAAATTCACTGTGCTGAAGAGAAAACAGAACTGAAAACAACGGTAAAAGGAGGGGCATTTCTGTCATTACATTGCGCTTAAGAACAGTGTTTAGATGGATTTCCGTTTAGTATATATATAATTTCTTCAATCTGCATGCAGCTCCCTCCACCTGCTGATTGTTGAATGAACAACAATTAGTATTACACTAATAATTTAATTTAACAGTTAAATTAAATAATAAATAAAATAACGAAGTTAAACAAAGCAGTAAAATAAAATTGACTGTTCTTTCAGATAGGTAATGTTCTTGAAATAGAATTTCGCCCCTACTCAATGCTTGTAGTTCTGCAAGCGTCTGCTCCACCAAGTTATAACTATCTAAAATCAAAGTCATAGCACTAGGGCTTTGATTTCCAGCGAAATCTGTGTGTTTCTCTCAGGCTATAAATAGGAATGATGACTTTGAATGTTATCTGCGATTTGATTATTATTATATTTTTTTAAAGAACCAAGGCTCCTGTTTATATAGAGTGGTTGATACTTGTTACTTGTTGAACAAGTATCAGACAAAATTTAAAATTATTTATAAATGAAAAAACCATTTATAGAAAGATTTTAATCTTAAGGACCATTTATGAACTCTAAACCTTTAGTTTTTTTATTTTTAAATTTTATGAATTTTAAATTATTTTTTAAAAACTTAATTAGTTTGTTGATGTGGGATATATATGGAGCCCACAACTACAATAATATAGTGTCACATGTATTTAAAATTTAATATATATTTTAAAATAATTATAATTCATAAAATTTTTAAAAGAAAACAAAATTTTTATGAATTTTAAATTTAAAAAATTAAAAAATTTCGTAAGGACCATTTGTGATAGGTGTGTGAACCTCAAAGATGTTTTGTGATATACATATATGTCACGTTAGCAAACTAATGGAGTTTTTTACGGAACCTAACGGCAAGGACCATTTGTGATCATGCATACCAACTTTAAAGACCACGAATGACAAAAAAAAACATTAAAGATGCAATATGATAGTTTCGTAAACTTTAGGAACGTTTTGTGATAATAAGCCTTTAAGAAATTATGTGGATCAAAATTCATGCGCTTGAAGAATCAATTCGAGCAGTATCTTGGTATTTAAAAGCTATCAATTAGAAGAATATTGATATGCTGCAGTGGTTGTAAATGTTTTTTTTTCTTCTAGAAATATGAAACAATCGCTTGCAATAGCTACGTGTGAAAAACAAATCAGAAAGATGAGATAGTAGGCAAAAGAGGAAAGATTCGTTTTTTTGGTCAAAGATAGGATTCATTAATCCCAAAGGCAAAACCAACGAAAACACACAAAGCCCAAAAGGCTGGACTAACAAAGAAAAATGAACAGTTTTTTTTTGGGTCGAAGGTATACAAACAAAGGTACATATGCGGACATAACACTAGATAGAACAAAAGACATAACATCAGAAAAAACATGGACCGTCCAAGAAGCTTCAGGTCGACTCTCAAAGTCGAGGAGGAGTTTGAGGAGAAATGGGAAGGACAGAGTTGTTTGAGAGGAGAGAGATAAGAGTAACGGCGTCAAGTTACCATCATTTAAATTTTTTAAAAAATGTACCATAAATTACCTTATCTAACATGGCCAAGTTATAAACATTGGATTGGTTAGACGATTCAGATGTTGCGAAATGCAAGTAAATGTGTAAATTCTAAATATAGAGACTCAGGATGTTGACGTGAGTCTCCTAATTAATCAAGGAGATTTACTTCATTCATTAATTAAGGAATTTACTTTTCTACTTTTATATAAATGATAAATCATTGTACAATTAGGAGATACTTTCCTATTTTAGCACAGGATCCCTCCCGATCCACTTTCTAAAATAGGGAAACTTCCAGGGGCTCCTAAAGATTATTTTAAACTTTTAATTAATGCTAACTATTTTTAAATGTAATATATAAAGCAAAACTTACTCTCCCTCAATGGTAGAAAACCCTAAGGAAAGAAATCCCAGCCGCCGCCCACTTTGGCCTCCCGTTCCCCTCTCATCCTCTTTCCTCTCAGTCCCTCCCTTTTCCCTCCGGACCCTCCTTTATATCGTATTGAAAATTTTTAGTTCTCCAAGACGTTTCCACTGCGCATCCTTATAGGCGAATCTGCTACCAAAGGAAGCAATAGTGAACTAAAGATGAATATTGATGATCTTCCTCAACATCTGTTGGTTGAAATCCTTTGTCGACTTCCTCGCAATAAAATCGTTTTTCAATGTAAGTGTGTGTCCAAACGTTGGTCTGCTCTAATCTCGAATTCTTATTTTGTCCTCCGCTTTCTCTCTGTGCGAAAAGGTACAACTGAGGACACATTATTTTTTGAGACAACCAAACGAAATAAACGAGATAAGGAATTTGTTACCATGTCCGCACTTTCGTCTGGGTTCAGGACCCGCAAGTTCTTTCTTAGTTTCGTCCCTGGCTTTGGTCGGCTAGCTGTGGTCGCGACGTATAATGACTTAATCTTGTGCTGCCCAGAGGATGGTCTTTCACGTGATTACTACATCTGTAATCCATACACCAAGCAATGGGTTGCTCTTCCTCCAGCGCCAAGAGTTCATCGAGCTGTAGCAAAAACGGGATTCATATGCGACGGTGCCTACTATAACTGCAAGGAGCTGGACGGTGATCGTATAACTAGTACAAATGCTGGCATCGAGCTTAATTCTGAGTATAGGTACAGAGTTGTGAACCGAATTCGTCAGCGTGGACAGAATCCCTTGCAGTTCAGGGTGGAGATCTTCTCATCGGAGACTGGTGAATGGACACAGTCAGTTATACAATGCCCCCAAGACTTCCTTAACTTTGATGACATCAATCCGGTAATGCTTGCCTACAAAGGAATGTTGTATTGGTCTGCTAATGGTGGAATTCTTATGGCGTTGGATCCCTTCAACAACAACCCTAAGACCACTAGTACTAGTGGTAGTACTTGTGCTTATATTTTGAGAATCAATTCTGTCGTTTCACTGCATTTGATAAGCCTGCTTTTGCACCCGAAGACACTGATATATGTCTTCAGTGTCTAAGCGTGTGCCAAGGGCGTTTACGGATGTGCTACTCAGGGACTGGCAAGACTCGGAGTGTTTGGGAGTGGAAAGAAGTACAAGAGCAGTCGCAAGGGGGAAGATTAATGAAATGGTTTTTGATAAAAAGGTTTTCGTGGGAGCAACTGGTTACGGAGAATAATCCAGTAATTAGTATATACGCATTGCGGCGGACTAGGGTGTTGGCTTTAGACCCAAAAGATGAGGATATCTTACATGTAGCTCTGGATGGAGATATTGTAGCATGCGACTTCCGTACACGAACTTCGTTCAAGAGACGTAGAGGGAGGCCCAAAAATGATTGGAGTCGTTATGACGCGGAAGCCTACTCATTTTCACGCCCATCTTGGCCGACAACAGTTCCTAAACCGTTTCCTCGTGATGATGATGTATTGGTTGAAAGATGCACTGATATGAATGTGATGTTATTCTTTTCCAAAACCGATAATCCAATAAGCAGAATCTATCCGATTTGGGAATCTTTCATCATGGCTGCGCTTCCGAGCGGGTGCAAATCACGCAGTTTATCTCTCAGTTTCCTTCCTTGTTTTGATCAAACCAGACAAATCGAGTCATTTGTGTTGGGGACATATAATGACTTAATCTTGTGCTGCGTAGAGGATGGATTTGCACGTGATTACTCCATCTGCAATCCATACACCAACCAATGGATTGCTCTTCCTCCCACCCCTCGTGTTCATCTGGAATCAGTACTAACGGGATTCACGTGCGACCATCACTACTATAACCACGAGGAAATGATGGATGATCGGACAAGTACTTCCAACAAGAAGCTTGAGTATAGGTACAGGGTGGTGCGAATTCCTGCACCTGTAGTTGAGCATAATTTCTTGGAATTCACGGTGGAAATCTTCTCTTCTGAGACTGGAGAATGGAGAGAGTCAGTTATATCGAGCTCCCGAGGATTTAGTTTTACTTGTCACTCTGGTACTCCAGGCGTTGCTTACAATGGAATGGTGTGCTGGTTGGTTTTTGGTGGCCTTCTTATTGGGGTGGATCCGTTCAACAACATAAACAACAGTATTTCGACAGGTGCTAATATTACTGGTGACATTGTCGTCAACAACGAATTATGTCGTTTCGTTCAATTCCATAAGCCCGAATACAACATTGAACGTGTTGAGTGCCTAGGTCTGTGTCGAGGGCGTCTGCGGATGTGCCATTTTGATCTGGACGATCCCCGCAGAAGTGGCATTGTGTGTGTTTGGGAGTTGAAAGAAGTCGAAGAAGAAGATGATCAGCAGGCGGATGGAATTGCAAGCAGATTGATGAAATGGTATTTGATAAAAAGGGTTGACCTGAAGGAATTAGTTGCTGAAAATCCACAAATTGATGAATGTTGGGCAGAGGGGACGATAGGATGGTGCTTTGCCAAGGTGCGGGCTTTTGACACAAACGATGAGGATATTTTGTATCTAGATTTGGGTGGAGATATTGTGACATTCAACTTGCGGAAAAGAACTGCATTTGTTCGAGGGAGAATCAGTCCAAGAGATACCATGTCTTTTAATGAGTTGACGAAGGCCTTCCCACTTTCGCTCCCACGTTGGCCTACACCACTTCTTAATTAAACTAGACTCATTATTTCCAATCCAAGTGCAACTGACGACAATTTGCGGTTTTATCTTATGATATTTAAACATTCTACCAAATAAATTAGATTTAGACTTTATAATGTTTCACATTGGCTTTTTATGAACACGAAAATGGGCATCTAGTGGGTTGATTGAAAGTAAAATTGAGATTTCCCGCTACCCGTAGGCATTAATGGCCACGATTTTTGTTGTACAGCGAACTGTTGGCTGATTGCTATCCATTCTCTAAGGGCATCTCCACCCACAAGGGCTAAGTCTAAGGCAAGGGCAAGCAAGAGCTACTACTATTCACGTGAATAGTGTCAGCCTTTGCATTTGTGGTTCCACCCATGAAGGGCAAAGTCTAGGGCAAGTCTAAGGCAATTACTATTCATTGTACTTTATTTCCTATTTTTTTTATACTTTAAACCATTAATTTTGATAAGCTTTTTAGATTATATTTTCGGTTGTCACGTGTCACTATTTATTATAAAATTTTCACTTAAAATTTAAGATAACATTTTTCGGATAAAATTTTCAAATAAAATTTTCGGTTACCACGTGTCCATATTTATTATAAAATTAACATCTCATTCATCATACAATTGAAATACCTACTCACTCATCATACAATTGAAATATTCTTGGTCCTCATAGTCCGACACAATGGAATACAAGGACAACTCCATCATTGGCGGAGGCGGTTCCACCGGATCACAACGTGAGGGAGTATTTTCCTTCGGAGGACGTAATAGTGCCATTATTTCTGACACGGAACGCACCACTGGAACTGACTGCGGGCATTGTTCACTTGAGGAGCCATGTGTAATGGTTTTCCTCTTTTTTGTTTTGCCTTGACTAATCTATTAAAAAAAAAGAAATTGGAAATGCAAGAAATATATATATATATATAATAAAGACATTAAATTGAATAAAATGTAATTTTTTTTTTTTTTTTTTTTTTTTTTGCCTTTTTGATTTTGACCTCTTCGAACATTTGTCCATGACCCTCCGGCTTCGATGGAAGATGACATTTGTATTTTTGCACAAATGAAATTTTGTAGTAGAAAATTTGGTGTGGAAAGTGAAAAATATTGGAAGGAGATGAGTTTTTATGAAGATTTGGTGTGAAAAAGTGAATAAAATGGTTAGGTATTTATATGGAAAAAATATAAAATTTTTTGGTATTTTTTATAAAAAAAATTCAGAATTTTTCAGAATTTTTTCGATTTTTTTTGCAATTTTTTTAGCCAAAAAAACGAGGACCGTCGGATTTCTGGAAAAAAAGCATCGAAGCGCCCCTGTCGCGACACGTGGCACTTTACCGTTGGAGTCTGCCAGCGCTGACGTCAGCGCCCGGAAATCAAATTTTTTTTACCGTTGGAGCGTGTAATTCACGCGCAAATAGTAAAAAAAAATTGATTTACCTTGCGCTGGCGTCAGCGTGACGCCAGCGCTGATGTCACCAGACTCGGGCTTCAGCCCAGGCAAGACTTGCCCTTGGACTTCCTCGGGCTGGTGGGACCCACCACGAAACTGGGCTGCATCTCCTGCGCTGGAGCCATCTCGGGCTCGCCCTGGCAGCCTTTCACCCAATTTGGGTGGGGCGCTGGACTTGATCTAAGGGACACGGGTCTCCAACGGTCCATGAGTTCAAAGAGAGTTAGTGAGTTTTGGATGTGCCATTTCGATCTGGATGATCCCTGCGAAAGTGGCATTAATATTGTGTGTGTTTGGGAGTTGAAAGAAGTAGAAGAAGAAGAATGTGATCATTGTTGGTTTTTACAAGGCATTGCAAACATGTTTGAGTTGAAATTAGTTCTACATTGAAAACTAGAGTTTCTTAAAGGTGTTAATAAACATTACTCTTGGAAATAGAATAGTTTGGATTGAGCTATGCAAGTAGCCCAATTGAGTGGCTCATGGGTTTTAGTCTTTGGGTCAATGCCTAATTAGTTGGGTCAATGGTTAATTAATATATATATATTTAATATTTAATTAATCAAAAAATGGGCCTTGGGCCTCCTGGGCTCTGTGATTTAAATTAAACCCAATTAATTATTTTTGAATTATTTTTGCAAGGCATTGCAAACATGTTTGAATTGAAATTAGTTGCACATTGAAAACTAGAGTTCCTTGAAGGTCATCGTAAGCCTTACTCTTGAAAATATAATAGTTTGGATTGGACTATGCAAGTGGCCAGATTGAGTGGCTTGTAGGTTTTAGCCTTTGGATCAATGGTTAATTAATATATATATATATATATATATTTAATTAATCAAAAGATGGGCATTGGGCCTCTTGGGTTATGTAATTTAAATTAGAGTGTTGTTATTTCCATCCGCCTTATCTTTAAACTTTTAAAGACAAATTTAACCCTATTGTAAAATGACTTCAAATGACTTAAGGAAAAAGAAAGAGAAAGAAAAAAAAATCGTAGACTTCTCAAGTTCTCACCTATCGTTTGATAGAAAGAAGAAAAAACATAAGAAAACTAGACCCCTTGCTCATGATTCCTCTTATGACTTTTCAACGCTCAGAGAAATAACAAGACAATGGATGTTAAAGAGAACGATTTTGGCGAAAAAGTAAGGAAATCCTTTTTGAACAAAATTTCTAAGATCTTTACGATTACTTAAAGTACTAGGAGATGAGTATTTCTTAGACTCTGATTTTTTTCCTTAAACAAATTAAAAATCTGAAAACCTGAGGATGAATCAATAATTCTATGATTTGTGCTCTGTTGATTACACAAAGAACATTCCTTACAAAACCAATTTGGCTGAGGATATTTTGAGGCATGAGAAGGTGAAGAAGGCTTTGGGGGGGTTAATAGGTCGTTAGTTTTTTAGGAATGTAGTAATTTGGTGGGGGATATTTTACATGAAGATGTGATGAAGAGTGTGAAATACATGGTGGAATATTTGATGAAGAAGAACAAGGTCTTGCCGTACCGGGGGAAGTTTGATTTGAGAGATGGTGTGGTTTCCGTTGAGGTAAAGAGAGATGTATAGTAAACATGGGAGACAGAGAGAGAGAGAGATGGAGCATGAGAGATGGAAAATAAGATACAACAAAAATGAGAAAGATATGTGTGGGCCGTGAGAGAGAGAGAGAGAGAGAATAAAAGGAGAGAGGAAATGAGGTAATAATAAAGGGTATTTTAGGAATATTGGTGGGTGGAAAAATAGGATTGTGTTTTTTAAAATTTATATGGTGGGTGGGAATATAAGATGGGTGAGAAAATAGGACGGGTCGGTGGAAATAGCAGCACTATTTAATTAAACCTAATTAATTAATTAAATTTCGAGTTAATTATTTATTTATTTTTTAAACATTTAAATATCAGATAAATTTTTAAATTAAAATTTTTAAAAATTTGTATGGACCATTTGTGATAAGTGTGTAAACCTCAGGGATGTTTTGTGATATATATGTATGCCACGTTAGCAAACTAACAAAGTTTTTGACAGAACCTAACGGCAGAGACCATTTGTGATTGCACATACTAACCTTGATGACCATAAGTGACACAAAAAAACATTAAGGATGCAATATGATAGTTTCGTAAACCTTAAGGACGTTTTGTGATAATAAGCCTTTCTTAAATTATGGAGATTTTTGTCTTGACTCTGGTTTTTCAAGCTCGGATGAAAAGATCAAAAGGAGAGAGAGAGAGAGAGAGAGAGAGAGAGAGAGAGAGATGTCAATTTGGAATAAATAAAAATAAAAATTTATCCTAGCTGATGTGGCTAATTTATAAGCATAGGATTGCTTGGCCGATCCAGATGTTGCGAAATGCGGGTAAATGCGTACTTTGTAAATGCAAAGGCTCGGAATCTTATATGGAGCATGGTTGGAGTTGTATTTTTCCAATTCTCTCTAAAATTTGTCTAAAAAAGTGGTTTAAGGAGCCCGTTACTTTTTGGTTAATGTTCTCTTCAGATTCCAAAGCATAATATTCTTTTTGGTTAACCTATTAGTACATGTATATGTCATGTGAAAGAATACGTAAATTTCGCCTTTCAGTCTCTTGCCACATTTTTTGTATTGTGTACACAAGTGCAGTTAGAATTGAATTTTTATTTCAATAGTATTCACAACAATGCACAATTTTTTTTTCGTTATACTTATATATGTGCTTAATGATAGAATAAATTAACCAACTAGCTACTAGTTTAGTGAAAGTTTTCTTTTCTAATGTTAAAAGAATCGATGTCTCGAGTTTAAATCTCTTCTTCCGTAAGGATTTCAAAATGCAGAAAAAGTTAACGCAAGGTTAAAAAAATAAAAAAATAAAAAAGTAAGAACGAAACAAAATGAGAAATGCAATAGTCACAAGAGCACACTGATATACCAAAATCATAAAAGTTTAGTATAATTCTAATATTTAAATACATAGAGTACTTGTTCTGACTCTACATGATACCCAATAATATAAGACCACATTTTTTTTTTCTTTATAAAGATCACTAAACAGAAAAGACTACAATGAAATTTTAAGCCCAATAAAAAAAAAAGGCTTTTTATCACAAAAGGTCCTTGACGTTTACAAAATTGTCACGAATGGTCCTTGAGGTTTTTTTGTGACATTAATAGTCCTTAACGTTATGGCTTTTTATCATAAGTAGTCCCTGCCATTAGAAGTTCTGTTAAGTGTGACGTGGAAGATAAGTAGAGCCACATATCCAATCACATTGTGACATGTGGATGAAAAATAAATAAATAAATAATTTTTTCAATGAAAATTCCATTTTTTTTTTCTGCAACTTTTCATCCCCTCTTCCTTTACTTCGTCTCTCTTCCCCTTTGCCCTTACTTTCCACCAGCTGCTTCCTCTTTCCCCCTCTGCTCTCCCTATCTTCTCCCTGTCTTCTCCTTCTACCTCTGTTTTTTCCTCTGCCCCCTCTGCTCTCCCTCTCTCCTCCCTCTGTTTTTTTCTTGCCCATTGCCACCCGCAAAAAAAAAAATATATATATATATACAGTGGTAGAGAAAATATATAGTTATAAAACTGTATCTTTGTGGTGGGTTGCGGTGGGCATGGGTTGGTCTGGTTGTAGAGGCAAGAAAAAAACAGAGGGAGAGGGAGAGGGAGAGCACAGGGAGGAGTGAGAGAGAGGCTAAATGGATTTTCATCAAAAAAGTCTGTTTCTAGAAATGGTCAATGTTCCTGAGCCACAGTTTTCCATTTAGATAAGGAACTTAGGATCATAGGAGGGAAACCCTTTCAATACCACTTTAGCTTCTCTGGCATGGGAGATGACTAAACTGGGCATTCAAGAACCATAACCTTTTCTAGGAACAGATTTTATGATTATAGAATAGGCATTTATAATCCTCCTTCCATACAAAGAGTCTATGAGCCCTTCAGCTAGTTTCCTCTCAATTTTTTCTACATATCATTTCTATATCAAGATAAAATTGATTCACGTACTCTAAAGTTTCTTAGGATTTTATTTGTTTATTTGTTTTTATCAACCTGAATTGTAATCGCATGTTCAATGGGACCGCAATGCTGTCTGCAAATTGAAACAGAGGGAGAGGGAGAGGGAGAGGGAGAGCACGGGAGGAGAGAGGGCAGAGAGAGAGAGAGAGAGAGAGAGAGAGAGAGAGGCTAAATGGATTTTCATATAATAAAAAAATATTTATTTATTTATTTAATCTACATGTCATTATGTGATTGGACATATGGGCTCCACTTATCTTCCACATCAGATACTTAACAGAATTTCTAACGGCAAGGACCATTTGTGATAAAAAGCCCTAACGTTAAGGACTATTAATGTCACAAAAAAACCTCAAGGACCATCCGTGATAATTGTGTAAACGTTAAGGATCATTTGTGATAAAAAGCCAAAAAAAAAAACAAACAAATTGTGTGCACTTTGTTTGGAAATAATTAGTCGTTTAATTAGGAAGTGGTGTGGGCCAACGTGGGAGCAAAAGCGGGAAGGCCTTTGTCAACTCATCATCAATTCCATCTCTTGTCCTGATTCTCTCTCTCTCGAACGAAGTTCTTGTACGAAAGTTGCATGTTACAATATCTCCTTCCAATTCTATATACAAAATATCCTCATCGTTTGTGTCAAAAGCCCTTACCCTGGCAAAGCACCGTCCTTTTCGACATTGCCTGCCATCGAGCAAGTCAGAATTTTCCGCAACCAATATTTCCTTCAGGTTAACCTTTTTAATCAAACGCCATTTCATCAATCTGCCTGCAATTCCATCCGCCTTCTGATCATCTTCTTCTTCGACTTCTTTCGGCTCCCAAACACACACAATGCCACTTTGGTAGGGATCCTCCAGATCAAAATGGCACATTCGCAGACGCCCTTGACACACACCTAGGCACTCAACACGTTCAATGTTGTATTCGGGCTTATGGAATTGAACGAAACGACATAATTCGTTGTTGACGACAATATCACCAGTAGTATTAGCACTAGCACCGGTCAAAATAGTGCGGTTAATGTTGTTGAACGGATCCACCCCAATAAGAAGGCCACTGATTTGTAAGCAACGCCTGGAGTTCGAGAGTGAGAAGCAAAACTAAATCCTTGAGAGCATGATATAACTGACTCTCTCCATTCACTAGTCTCAGAAGAGTAGATTTCCACTGTGAACTCCAAACAATTCTTTTGAACTGCAGGAATTCGCACAACCCTGTACTTGTACTCAGCATTAAGCTTGATGTTATTAGAACTTGTTCGGTTACCAACAAGTTCCTCACGGTAATAGTAGGGATGGTCGCACGTGAATCCTGTTAGTACTGGTCCCCGATGAACTCGAGAGGTGGGAGGAAGAGCAGTCCATTGCTTGGTATATGGATTGCAGATGTAGTAATCAGGTGCAAAATGACTATCCTCAGCGCAGCACAAGATTAAGTCATTATATGTCCCCTGTTAACTATGGTTAGTATGTTAACTATGATTAGCAAGTCAGTAAGTTTGTTACAAGTCTGGTACTTAGCACGTGTATTAGTTAGACAGCTAAGCTGTGTGGTTAGTCAGTTAAGCCCCTCTGTGATCTGTTTACATAAGAGTGGGCTTTGCTTTGTAAGAGTTAGTTGATTGAAATCAAAACTCAGAATTCTCTAGTCTTCTCCATTTATCTTTCTCTGATATTTATGAAATTCTTCTCCTCTTTCTTTTCTGTCATCATGGTATCAAGAGCCAGCATCGCTCACGCTTGATCCTCTTGCTTCTGCTCTTCAATTCTTCTCTTCGTCAAATTCTGCTTCAATTCTTTCGTTTGTTCTTCCATTCTTCAATTCTTCAGTTTGTTCTTCAACTCTTCAATTCGTTCTTTCTTTCTTCAAATCTCTTCAATTTGTTCTTCGACTCTTCAATTCATTCTTTCATTTTTCAAATCTTCATTTCGTTCTACGATTAGGGATTTCTTGAATTTAGGGATTTGCTGCACTTCGGGATTTACTACTTCTCATGGCGTCGTCTTCATCAATCAAGGTTGAAGGTCTCTTGGGTATGGTTACCATTCGTCTTGGTGATGAAAACTTTCTTAAGTGGAGTTTTCAAATTGAATCTCTGCTCCAAGGCTATGATCTCTTTGGCCATTTTGATGGCTTGCTTGTTCCTCCCCCCAAATTTGCGATTCTTGATGAAATTGGCGTTACTTCAGAGGTCACGGCAGCTTTTAGGGATTAGTTGCGTACTGATAAGTCTATCTTGAGTTTTCTAATTGCCACTCTCTCTAATGAGGCATTAGAATATGTCATTGGCAGCAAGACCACTCGTAAGGCATGGCTTCAACTTTCTGACTGCTATGCTACTGTATCACGAGCTCGGATTAATCATCTCAAAATTGAGCTGCAGACTGCTCAGAAAGGTGCCGACTCCATTGAGCGGTTTCTTCTTCTGCTTAAACACATTCGTGATAAGTTGGCTTCTGCTGGGGTGCCAATTTCATATGATGATTTTATGATCACCGTATTAAATGGGTTGCCTTCGGAGTATGACATTATCAAGACAGTTCTCATTGCTCGTGACTCGTTGATCTCCTTGAAATATTTTCGTGCTTAATTGCTTGCTGCAGAACAAACTGCAGAAGCTCGGATTCATACTCATCATGCTCTGTATATGTCTTCTACCTCTTCTCATGGTTAGGTATTGCAGCATCCTGGTTCTTCTTCTACTGGTATGGGTTTACTTCCCACTCCGTTTGTTGCCTATATGGGTTCTCATGATGCTTCTGGTTTTCATAATAGAGTCTCTGGTTCTCAATCTTTCTCTGGCAATGGTCGTGGTTTTTCTTCTGGTAATGGTAAAGGTTTTGCCTATGGACATGGTCGGTTTTCACAAACTCAGTACCTAAGTTCCAATTTTCATGGCGGGTTTTCTGGTGCTCAAGCAAGATTTGGGGACTCTTCTTCTAAATTTTCTGTTGTTCCAGAATGCCAGATTTGTGGCAAACGTGGCCATACTGCCGTGAATTGTTATCATCCTCATGGTGATGACAGTTCTAAGATTTCTGGGTCAATTATTGCTTACCAAATTGGTGCTTTGGATTGCTTTCATCGCTCAAATTATGTCTATCAAGGTCAAGCTCCTCCATCCACTATCTCTGCTATGGCAGCTCACAGTTCTTATATGCCTACACATGCTTATGCTCCAATGACAACTCCTTCGAGACAAGAGACGGCATATCATGTTTGGATTGCAGATAGTGGAGCTTCCCATCATATGGTTGCTGATGTCTCTACTCTACATGATGTTACCTCCTGTGATTCCACTGATCAAGTGACCGTGGGGAATGGTGAAGGTCTGAATATAACAAATATTGGCACTACTGCTTTGTCTTGTGCTTCTATTTCTCTTAAAATGCCTTCTGTTTTTCATGTTCCCAAGCTCTCTGCAAATCTTTTATCTGTGAACCAGTTATGCAAAGATAATCATTGTATCATAAGCTTTGATTCTGCTGGTTTCTGTATACAGGACAAGACAACAAAGGCAATTCTTATAAAGGGCTCTAGCCATAATGGCTTATATCCCATTCCTTGTAAAGTTCCATCTGCCCGGTTCTAGTTTTCCAATCCAACATCGTATATTGGTCAGCGTGTGAGTTCTACTACATGGCATCAGGGATTGGGTCATCCAACAAATGAGGTGGTGAAGCTTATGCTTAAAGATTCCAACATGGTTGTTTCAGAAGATGCACAGTTTGATTTGTGTCCTTCATGTCTTCAAGGAAAGATGCACAAGCTGCCTTTTTCTAGTGTTCATGTTAAGTCAGATATTCCTTTTTCTAATATACATATTGATGTCTAGGGGCCTTCTCATTTTAAGTCCATTCATGGCTTTCGATATTTTGTACTCTTCTTGATGAGTGTACTAGCTTTGTATGGATATATCCCTTTTTTAATAAATCTGAGGTGTTCTCCAAGTTTCTCAAATCCTTTGCTTTGGTTCAGACTCAATTTAATGCTAAAATTCAGCATTTTCAGAGTGATGGTGGTGGTGAGTATATTAGCAAAACATTTACTGACTTCCTTGCCAGTCATGGTATTCTGCATCAGATTACATGTCCATACACCCCACAGTAGAATGGTATGGCTGAGAGGAAAAACAAACATGTTGTAGAGACTGCTCTAACTCTTTTGACTGCAGCTAATATGCCTGGACAGTTTTGGTATCATTCTCTTGCACATGCAGTCTACTTAATAAATAGAATGCCAAGTCAGTCCTTAAAGCATCAAGCTCCTTATTTTCGATTGTATGGCAAGCAACCAGAGTTACAGTCTTTAAGAATATTTGGCACTGCTGTATATCCATATCTTAGACCTTATAATGTGCAGAAGTGTCAACCTCGAACCATTCAATGTGTATTTTTGGGTTATTCTTCAGGGTATAAAGGTGTTTTGTGTTATGATATCGCCAATGACAAATTTATCATCTCCAGACATGTGATTCATGATGAATCTATTTGGCCTTTCAAGTCATTACTGCTCAGTTCAACGACTGCTGTTTCTGAATCCCAAGTAGCAATGCCACCTATTCTTTTTTCCTTTGCCTTTGCAAGAAGTTACACCTCGGGCTACCACAATCACATCAATAGCTCCTTCAACATCATCTTCTACTTCTGCATCTCCGGTTGCGCAACTATTACGTGGTTCAGATTCAGTTCTTGTTCCAGAGGTGCATCATCCCCTTTTAGGTGATCATCACCTGCCAGTTTTACCTCCTCTTGAGCATTCATCTTCAGGTACATCCTCATTTGATTCTTTAACTATTGGTCCTATTAATACTCATCCCATGTATACTAGACTTAGGGATGGCATAGTACAGAAGAAACAATTTCCTAACTATGTGGGGTATTATACATGTTTGAATGCTCATATTGAATTAGATGAACCTGCAAGCTATAAAGGTAGCCTCGTTTTCTCCACAATGGAAACAGGCCATGCAAGAAGAGATTGATGCCTTGCATATGCAAGGTACTTGGAGTTTGGTTCCTAATCCTGGAAATAAAAACATTGTTGGTAGTAAGTGGATTTATAAGATAAAGAGGAATTCTGATGGTTCTATAGCTAGGCATAAAGCTTGGTTGGTTGCTCAGGGATTCAGTCAAGAGCAAGGCTTGGATTTTAGTGAAACTTTCAGTCCTATAGTGCGTCACACCACTATCAGGTTAATACTGAGTCTAGATGCAATGAATAAATGGCAATTAAGACAACTTGATGTTAAGAACGCCTTTTTACATGGCGAATTGGAAGAAGAAGTGTTTATGAAACAGCCACAAGGGTTTGCAGATCCACGTTATCCTGATTTTGTATGTAAGCTTAAGAAATCATTGTATGGTTTGAAGCAAGCTCCAAGGGCTTGGAATGCCAAATTCACTAGATACTTACCAGCTATAGGTTTTCAAGCTTCACAGTCTGATCCTAGTCTTTTTGTTAGACATTCAGACTCAGAGGTTGTGATCCTCTTACTCTACGTTGATGATATTATTCTCACAGGTTCTAATGAGAAGATGGTTCAGCTTGTGATTGATGAGTTAAGGTTTGTATTTGAAATGAAGGACTTGGGTAAGCTTAAATTCTTTCTCGGCTTGCAAGTATCTTATGCCTCCAATGGTGATATTGTTGTTAATCAGTCCAAATATGCTAAAGAGTTGCTCCACAAAGCTGGGATGCACTCTTGTCGATCCTGCTCAACTCCATGTAAACCACATACACAGGTGTTAAAAGAGTCTGGTGAAGTGTTAACTGATCCAACATTGTTTAGGAGCATTGTAGGGGCTCTTCAATATTTGACTTTTACAAGACCAGACCTTGCTTACTCTGTTAACTCTGTGTGTCAATACATGAATCAACCTACTGATCTTCATTGGCATTTGGTGAAAAGGATTCTCAAATATGTGCAAGGTACTTTAGAATATGGCCTGAGTTTTACAACTGGTGATATGCATCTCTCTGCATATAGTGATGCTGACTGGGCAGGAGACATCAACACTCGCATCGCAGGTCTACAACAGGTTTTGTGATATTTTTGGGCAGCAATCCTATATCTTGGCAGTCAAAGAAACAAGGCTCTGTTTCAAGAAGTTCTACAGAGGCATGGTATAGGGCTCTAGCCAATACTACTGCTGATTTGGCTTGGATTCGACAGGTTTTAAAAGATTTGAAGTTGTATCTGCCTGATCCTCCAGTTGCATATTGTGATAATTTGTCTACGTTGACTCTTAGCTCAAATCCAGTATACCATTCCAGAATTAAACACTTGGACATTGATTTCCATTTTGTAAGGGAGCGAGTGCAGAAGAAGGATTTGCTGGTTTAGTATGTTTCCACAGATGAACAACTTGCTGATGTATTTACAAAGGGTCTACGTGGTCCTATCTTCTCACAGCATTGTGCTCATCTTAGGTTAAGAGAGTTACCTAAGTAGGGAAAATGTTAACTATGATTAGCAAGTCAGTAAGTTTGTTACAAGTCTGGTACTTAGCACGTGTATTAGTTAGACAGCTAAGCTGTGTGGTTAGTCGGTTAAGCCCCTCTGTGATCTGTTTACATAAGAGTGGGCTTTGCTTTGTAAGAGTTAGTTGATTGAAATCAAAACTCAGAATTCTCTAGTCTTCTCCATTTATCTTTCTCTGATATTTCTGAAATTCTTCTCCTCTTTCTTTTCTGTCATCATCCCCAACACATATGACTCTATTTGTCTGGTTTGATCAAAACAAGGAAGGAAACTCAGAGGTAAATTGAGTGATTTGCACCCACTGGGAAGCGCAACCATGAAAAAAGATTCCCAAATCGGATAGCTACTGTTTACCGGATTATTGGTTTTGCAAGAGAATAATATCGCATCCATATCAGTGTCTCTTTCAACCAATACATGATGAGGAAACGGTTTAGGAACTGGTGTCGGCCAACAGCGTGAAAATGAGTATGCTTTCACATGAGCACTTTTGGGCCTCCCTCTATTGTTGGTTTGATCAAAATCGGATAGCGTGTTGATGAACGAACTTCTTGTACGGAAGTTGCATGCTACAATATACCCATACGTACATGTAAGATATCCTCATCTTTGGGGTCTAAAGCCAACACCATAGCCTGCGACCACGCGTTTCTATTTACCCATTCAACAACTACTGGATTATTTTCCGTAACCAGTTGGTCCAATAAAAACCTTTTTACCAAAAAACATTTCATTAATTTGCCTCCGTTGGTCGGATCTTGCCTGTTGCATGAAAATATTAGTAGCCTTTTGTTTTGGGAAGTATACATTTTTGTGATTCATATTCACCTTTGCAAGTACTAGCCATACCATCAAATACGAAACAGCATTTTCATCTAATCTTGTATAAACAAAGGCAGATAAATTAAACAAAACTCTCATACTCTTTTTGTTTACTTGTAATTCTTTATTCTTAAGGGGAACTAATGTTGTTGGTCCCAACTCCCTTCTTGTATGCGCAGTTGCTCAGAGTACTTTCAATCACTGAGTAAATGAGCTAGGACTAAAATTATGTATTGCAAGGAAACATGGATGAAGGTCAAGTTTTCTTGGCCATATAATATTTGATAGCATTTGTGTTCATAAAATGGCCCAAGTTATAGCTCATGTTTAGAAGTTAAAATAATTGTTTACAGCCTTCCTAATGGCTAACCACAGACCGTTAATCCTACCTACCTTAATTTCTAGCCTAAATCGTTTAGCCCTGACTTGATCAGCTTGAGAAGACTCTTGTTCTAATTTCCTCTTCACAGGCTCCACACCTCCCATCACTCCCTGAATTTTCTTCATGACTCCGGCTCTTCCTTGTTCCAGTGCAGCCAATTCTGCCTTTACCCTGCCAATTTTTGAGTCATAATCCTCCAGCTCAGCTTCACAGGCTTGACATATCTCTACACCATGTTTGATCTTAACCAGGTCTTGTTCATGATCAGTCAAGAACCTTGTGCAGTCATGGAGTTCTTGTTTCTCTTGGATGTTTTCAGCAATATGAGCATCAAAGTAGTTGAACATTTTGCGAAGCCTGTTTAGCAGTTGTTCAGGGAACAGGTTCTGAGCATGCAGGACTTCCAGAGCCTCCTTTAGCTCTCCAAAGTTTTCTTCAGCAGAAAAAGTTTCCAGGTCTCTGGAAAGCCAAGTCCTGAGAGTTTGTTCGGCTTGCTTTGCTGCATTTGAGGCATGTGTTTCATCCCAAAGTTGAAGAAGCTGTTTGGCAGAAGAAAGTTGGAGCAGCACTCGATCTTCTTCAGAGATAGTAGCTTGTTCAGGGACCTTTTGGCCGTAATTAGTATCAGTGGCTTGTTCGGGTGCAGTGATAGGCTCGAAGATCTCATTGGTTGGGATGCCTATCTCCTGCCCTGTTGTGGCTTGCACGCTTTCAGGGCCAGCAGCCTGATAACAAGTAGATAATGGTAAGTTTAAGTTGGAGTATATAATAATGATAAATAAAAGTGGAGAAGAATTTACTTCTTCAGGAGTTTGAGATGGACTTGGCTCTGGGATAAGGTTCTCCCCGTTCCCTAGACCTAGTATGTCCTGTATGTCCTGCCCAGAAATAAAGATCAGTCTAAGATAATTGTCCTAAAAAATCTAAAGAGATTGTTTACCATCAATCGCCGGTATTCTTAACAAAGTGTTTAATGGCAGACCTCCAAAGAAGAGACGACACTTCCATCAAGAATCAGACTGCCAGGTTCTGCGGCAGTTTCATTAAACCCTCTTTCTGGTTCCTTACCCTGACAATGATTGTCGATATAAAATGCTAAGGTACCATTTTAAAGAAGGCACTATATGAGTTCCTAATTTAATAATAATTGACAAATATGACAGGGTATATCGAACAATAAATTCTGCCACTAGATTAGCAAAAGGGAAAACTAAAAGATAGTTAGCAAGGAAGAGCTACTTAAATCTTCAAAAGACAACATTGTACAACCTTAACCAGAACCAAGTAGGACAGCGGTGTCCCATGAATCGTTGATATTCTATGAAAATCAAATGAGTTGAACAAGAACAATATAAAAGAAACTTCAAGAGAAGGTTTGGATACCAATGACAATGCATTGAAATGAAATCCAACTCATATTTGAACTGAGATAAAAATGCACCAACAAAGAAGTCCCTGAAAGCTGTAAATATGTGTTTAATCCAGCTCATGTTCTTATAGTTGAGAACATTAAGAATACCATTTTTTGTAACTGCTTTTCAAGATGTTTATTTTTGTTTTGATCTTCACTCTGCTCCAGCACTTTGCTAATATCTTTCTTAATATCTTTCCAGTGAACATCAAACTTGGTCAAGGCTTTTTCCTCCTCTAAGAATGCCTTCTCAAAGTCGTCACGCAGGTGATGAATATCTTGCCGCCATCTTGCTATTTTGACAACATAATAAAATGGAATATAAAGGAAATTACTAGAAGAATAAAACTGAATGCAGTAAAACCAAATTTAAAGATCATTCTTTGATTAGGAAAAGAAATTTGGGAATCCACCACGATTCTTTCATAAATGTTTTCTCAGCAACCAAACAATGTATTTCATTTTGTTAACATCACGTACAGGCAAAATCATCAATATGCAAACCAGAATGTCCTCAGAAAATCTTCTGTTGGCTTCCCAGAAAAACAAAACCCCAACTTTGCCCACTTACAGAAGTAATTTGAATCACAAGCTCAAATAGCCCTTTTGAGAAAGCAGCAGCAAAACCCACTTCCAAGACAATTGATTTTGTGTAAGAAACGTATTGTTGCTTACCGTATAGATCTTAGAATTAGTTAAGACAAAACTCAAACTCACCAATATCCATTTCTTCTGAAGTGCTGTAAGGAGAGAAAAATATATATATCAAAATTAAACCCCGTCTCCAAAACAACTGAACAAGGAAATAAGGAACCCAGACATACAGGACTGAGAGCACTACAACTAATCTCTTATTTTTCTGACATTTTCTCAGCGAAACAATAAATTTCATTTTTGAACAATAAGAAACCATACAAGATCGTCATACAGAAACATGTAAGCGAACCAGAATCTCTTTGCTACCTTCTCCCTTTTCTTTCTTGCACTCAGCTTTTCTTGTCTCGAACGTACTTCTCTTTTATTTCTTTGTCAAAGGGGGAAAAAAAAACCTTTTCTTTGTATCTGTATTTAGCTTTTCAGATTAAAATTTGCAAGTGAAAACAGGTTTACGAGTTCAATTATTTTCCTTTTCTGGAACAAACTTATTGGAATATGTAAAATAATTAACTGCTGCTGGAAACTCCTCGTCTTCTTACAGCTGCTGGAAACTCTTCATCTTCCAACAGCTGTATTGTCTTGGTACTGTAAAAGCCTTTATTGCTTCTAAAGACCGTAAAAGGCTTGCCTATATATGCAACCTGTTGTACTGATATCCATATGATGAATAAGAATCTCAAACTCCACTGGGGAGGGACTTAGGCTAAAAATTGCCAAACCTCGTTAAACTTGTGTTATGTTTTCTTCTTTTTCTCTGATTTCTACAAAACTCCAAGGCAACAGGTGCAGCCTTTTTCAGAGTAATAATTATTTACAAATTTACGGAGAAAGACCGAACACCAAACTAGTTCGGAAAATTGGTGGCTAGAAGTGATATTCACACAAAACCGGTTACTACTAGGGGTCGTTTGATACGACAGATTGTCATGGACCGGACTAAATTCTGGGACTGTCTTAAATTAGCTCGGATTGGCCTAAGCTGGATTAAGTACTGACCTACGTTTGGTGTTGCATCGGACTAAAAAGCTGGATTGTAAAAATAGTGAAGACCTATGTTTAGTGCTGTGTCAGACTAAAAAATAATTTTTTTAATTATTTCTAATTACTCAGGTAGACACCAAATTTTATTAGGTGTTGTTGTGATGTATAAATATAAATACGAATTACCAAAGAAAATTATAAGAGAAAAAAAAAGTCCCTCATTTTAAAGCCCAAGATTTAGCTTGGGTATTTTCAAAAAAGAAAAAAAAAGGTTTTAGCTTAGGTAGTCCCAAAATAGAGAAAAAAATCTAGAATTATCTTTAAAAATAAGTGAAAATGATAGAGAAAAAAAGTTGAATTTTATTGGTTAATTGATAAACTGAACAAGTATGCATCTAATAATAGTTTTTTTTTATACATACAATTTTTTTTCCCCAAAATAAATACAGATTGTAGTAGGATATGAGAATAAAATAAACAATGAAGTGTCATTTCTTTTCAACTTTTATTTTTTCATTAATATTTTAATGTTTATTATAAAAGGAAACCTAAAATTATCTGAAACTAATGTTTAACTAAAATTATCTGAACCTAAAATTTCATTTCCTTCCACCTTCTTCTCGACTTTTCTTCTCCCAACCCAGACTCCCTACCACCCAGGGGCGGATCTATTAAGGCGCAAGGAGGTGCAGCTGCACCTCCCTTCGCCAGAAAAACTATTGTAGGTGCTTCAAATTGCCCCTTTGCTCAACTGGTGTACAAATTACCTTATTTCCATTTTCAACATTTAAGTAAATGTCTTTGTCTTTTTACTTTTATTTATTTTTATATTACTCCATTTACTTAAGTTTACAATGTAAATAAGGAAGTACCTCCCATTTGGATTCAAATAAAAATACTAGAAAATCAAATTCCGACCAAATCAAAATATGAAAATTCGGTTTTAGTGCAAAATACGATTTAGGCTAAAAATGATGGCTCATTAAGTCAATATATACTTTATACTAAAATCCCATAAAATCAAGTTTTCTTATTTGATGTATAAGGAATAAAAGCCGCCAAAAATTATCTTGAGAAAATGATTATTCCGAAAAACCATTTTTATACTTAGTCAATATTGCACCTCTGCTAAAAAATTTCTGGATCCGCCAATGCTACCACCCACATGCGTCCCCTATTTTTTCACTCTCTCATCTCTCTTCATAAATCCTCTCCTCCCGTGAGTGCTAGTGCTGCTTGGTTTTATATAACCCATGTGAAAACAGCAACAAAATCACACTGAAACACATAATTCAAACCACCACAATAACTCTCGATTTGTTCAATTGGGTCAGTGGTGGCTGTTACGGTTCGATAGATTGGGTGGTGACGGTGGAGGGAGGCTATGGTGGAGGCTATGGCGTTCAGGAGTTTGATTCAAGCCAAGGATCTGACTGTGGTGAAGGCTGGCCTTGGAGTCGGAGTGGGTCATCTCCAGAGAAGGCCAGAAGTTATGGAGGCTGGCAAAGGAGTTATGGGTCATCTCTAGAGAAGGCCAGAAAACTTGCCTTAGTAGGAAACAAGAGAGAGAGGAGAGGCGATGCTGAAGGAAACGAGAGAGAAAGAGGACTCAGGACTCGCTTGTTCTATATTTAGCGGGTGTTATTTTGCGAGCCCCTTTTCAGCCTCGCAATATTAGAATAGCGAGTGAGGTGGGACATTTTGGAAAAAACAAAAGGGGGGAGAAAAATTTTAAAAGAAGTAAAAATGGATAAAAATGCCCTTATTTATTTTTAGATTTCCTAAGGAATCCAATACATTTGCATGTCTTTGATTTGAAAGTTGAGCGGTTTTTTTGTCTTTTTTGAAAAAGCTTTGGTTTTTTCTAAAAGTGAAAATTTTTTTATGTCTAAAACCTAAAAAACCTTTTTCTTTTTTTTTTTACCGTTCTCCTATACAATCCCACTTAACTTAGTCCTCCCTCTGACCAAACATAAGTTCCAAATGTTATATAACTCAGTCCAGTCCAGTGAGGCCTACCAAACAAGCCCCTAGCGTGCAGGGTACGCAAGCCAGGACAAAGCTACTTTATTAACATTCATCTATTGGGCAAACAAGCAAAAGATAGATTTATGTTTTGTCATCATAGCACTTAGGCTCCGTTTGGTTCACAGAATAGATTTGAGGGGAAATCAATTCCCATGTTATTTCCCAAGATATGGGAAATGAAAAATTCATTTCCCACGTTTGGTAATGTTAGGAAAGTAACTGGAAGTATTACCTTATTTCATTTCCCATGTTTGTTTTGAGTACGAATAAAAAACAAAGTTTGTATAATTTTCCAATTATACGCATATTAAATCAAATAAAAAAAATGTATTTAATGATATATTGTAATTCTAAATTATTAATGGGAACAAAATAGTCATGAAAAACATGTATTTAATGTTGGCTCATCTTCCCAAATTTTCCCATGAGGAGGGAAAACGAAACCCAAGTTGGGAGGAAGACATAACTTTCCCCCTTACTTTCCCATATGTCAAGCAACGATTTCCCATGCATGGACTTACCAAACATGGGAAAGCAATTGATTTCTCATCCCCAAGTCTCATTTCCCATGAACCAAACGGGGCCTTATGGGTTTCATGCATTAAGTAAATAGCCTATATATCAGCGAACGCAACATCTTACAAGCAATTTATTAAGTAAATAGCCTAAGTATCCAAAAACACCATATCTTACTGGTAAGTTATAGTGTAAAAAGCCTACAAATCTGAGAACGCAACATCTTACCCTTAATTTATTAAGTAAATAGCCTAATTTTCCAAAAACGTCATATCTTGCCGGTAAGTTATAGGGTAATGTATATCTAAGAACGCAACATCTTACCCGTAATTTTTTAAGTAAATTGCCTAATTTTCAAAAAACATCATATCTTACCGGTAAGTTATAGTGTAAAGAGCCCATATATCTTAGAACGCAACATCTTACACATAATTTATTAAATAATAGCCTAATTTTCAAAAAACACCATATTTTACCGGGAAGTTATAGTGTAAAAAGCCTATATCTCAAAGAACGCAACATCTTACAAGTAAGTTATTAAGTAAATAGCCTAATTTTCAAAAAACACCATATCTCACCGGTAAGTTTTAGTGTAAAAAGCCTATAAATCTGAGAACGCAACATCTGACCCATAATTTATTAAGTAAATAGCCTAATTTTCCAAAAACATCATATCTTGCCAATAAGTTATAGTGTAAAAAGCTTATATATCAAAGAACGCAACATCTTACAAGTAATTTATTAAGTAAATAGCCTAATTTCCCAAAAACACCATATCTTACCGATAAGTTATTATGTAAAAAGCCAATAAATCTGAGAACGCAACATCTTACCCTTAATTTATTAAGTAAATAACTTAATTTTCCATAAACACCATATCTTACCGGTAAGTTATAGTGTAAAGTGCTTATATATCTAAGAACGCAACATCTTACCCGTAATTTATTAAGTAAATAGATTATTTTTCTATAAACACCATATCGTACCGGTAAGTTATAGTGTAAAAAGCCTATATATCTGAGAACGCATCATCTTACCCGTAATTTATTACGTGAATTGCATATTTTTCGGAAAACACCATGTCTTATCGGTAAGTTATAATGTAAAATGCCTATATATCTGAGAAGGCAACATCTTACCCATAATTTTTTGACTAAATAGCCAATTTTTCTAAAAACACCATATCTTATAGGTAACTTATAGTGTAAAATGCATATATATATATATATGAGAACGTAACATCTTACCCATAACTTATTGAGTAAAAAGAATAATTTTCCAAAAACATCATATCTTGCCGGTAAGTTATAGTGTAAAAAGCCTATATATCTAATAACGCAACATCTTATCTGTAATTTATTCACTAAATACCATAATTTTCCAAAAACACCATATCTTACCGGTAATTTATAGTGTAAAAAGCCTATATATCAGATAACGCAACATCTTACAAGTAATTTATTAAGTAAATAGCCTAAGTATCGAAAAACATCATATCTTACTAGTAAGTTATAGTGTAAAAAGGCTACAAATCTGAGAACGCAA